AGTGGACCACCCATACATTCAGCTTGCGATTTAAGAGTGCCATTCAAGTTCTTCGTAATTTGGGTATCAAAAGGAATCCTCACGAATTTCCTATCAGCAGACGTGGTATGGTTTCACGAACATTATTTCTATGCCTAGCTTTATCGACCACAGAAGTCTTATACTCATCGTGAATGGCAACATTTCTAATGTAATTTTACTCATCCACTAAGGATGGCAACTATTGTTCTAAAATTGTTATTTTTTTATGTCCTGGTTCCCACGAAGAGGGATATATCCTGTAATGTTCAGAGAACAACGTGAGAATCAAGGAAAATAAGGTAGGAATTGGTGTTCTTCTTGAATTTCTAGAGGTTATATGCCTCGGGGAACACCTGCCGTGGCAATGTGTTCCAGAGCCTCGCTGTTCGTTGGATGAACGAGTCTTTGGAAGGAGATGTTCTTCAGGTCTCCAAAGTGATCACGAAGGGGTGCGATGCCTCAACTCGACGGGTTAATCTCGCGGGGACTGCCAAGGCAGGAACAATTGTTGATACTTCAGAAGAGCATCGTCCATGAAAATATCTATGAAATAGAGCCAGATCGTCAACTTTTATACGGTGTTCCAGAGAAGTGAGTGAGTTTGTGAGCGAGACATCACCCACGAGACGAGTTGCCCTTTTTTGGACAGAATCCAACAGTTTCAGGGTATGTTTGGGTGTTGCACTCCAAATATGGGAACACTACTCCAGGGCAGGTCGGATCTGTGCCTTATAGCGTTGATTGATATATTACGCTTATATCAAACAACTCTTATAGATCAGAAGCAGCTGACTGAAAGTGGAATAGCTCCTGGCCCGAAACAGAAAACAAAGTTTTTGGGATGCACTTTTAGCAATTGATCTCACGTGATTTTTCCAAGGAAGGTTATTGCTGATAGATACCAAGCATCGAAATGGATGTCTTCAAAGGTATGGTTACTCCTGACAAGCTTATGTTGGGTACAGTGAAATCGGCTTTTCTAGAGAAAAGCTTGTGTTTTGTTCGCATTGAAATCTACCAAGTTATTGGATCCCCATTCGAGAATTGTTGCCAAGTCCATATTTCTGTTGTCAACATTTCTCCCTCGTTCGTTTGATTTGCCTGGCTGGTATTGGAGCCCTCGTCAACAAAATGTGATATTAATGGATGCGTGTTATTTCTAATATTCGAATTCAAATTTCAACATCGTGTCTCTTTATTCTGTTTACATCCCTAAACTGTCACCTGTCATCACATCTCCTCACTATGGTACCAACCTTAATACCAACACAAATCTAGTTGAATACTACAGGTACTATCATCCGCGAAGCTGTGTACCAGACATGAAGTTACTTTTAACGAATTGGTAATATGGAGTAGAAATAGTGTTGGTGCTAGAATTGAGGATCCTTGCAGAACACCAGCATTTATGATAAGAGAGTCAGATAAAACTCTGTCGACCACTACAATCATGGTGAGACCTTTTTGAGAGAAAACTAGCTAGCGGAGAACATAGCTGGGGAGGCAAGCCATAAGATGGAAGCTCGGCAAGGAGTCCGTGGTGCCAGACTCGATCGAACGGCTTGGAGATATCAAGTGCCACAGCTAAGGTTCCACCATATTTTCCAATAGATTGCTGTCATATATGTTGCCATATATGTTGCCAGTTGATCTCTGATGACGGAAGCCATATTGCCTATCGTTGATAATATCTGAATGTTTCAGGTATTGCATGAGCTCGATGTTGATAGCTTTCTCCATGATCTTTGAAATGATAGATAGCAGGGCGATCGCTCTGTAGTTACTAGGTTTGCCTTTTTTAGGAAGTCTTCGAGAGTCTTGTGCGAGCAACTAGATTGATGAAATACGTATTTAGGCTTTTCTAAATATTGATGTCGTATATTTTGGTAAATTTTGTGTTCGATTATTCAATTACATCAGTCTCCAAAACCATTGTCGTTCTAGATGACAACCTAGTTAGGTAGTTACAATGAACTCAATGTAAACACCGGTAGTTATTAGGCGAGAGCAGTAGATTGCCTACTAGGATTTGTACTTCATCGAATGGCACCTGTGCTAATCACTATCCTGAGCAGGATGATTGAAAATTTGCACCTTCATGTGCGGAAATTTTTACTCGATTTGACGATTTGATAACGAGATAAGAATTATTATGCCATCCGTCAGTCTGATCCAAATCCACGGCAAAGCGAGTTGTTTGCTGCTATTATTCCAGACATACTTCTGTATTGTGATAACGAGTAAAAACAGAAAGCAAATGAAAGGGAAACATGTACCCTTTGCCAATATCCAATCGTATATTCGAACTGATCTAAGTGGAATATCCGGTGGACCAGTGTAAGACTCTTGTCCTGCTTGCACTTCAAGTATGTTTATCTACATGTTGAGTTTTTCACTGGTCCATCGGATATTATCTTTAGGGAGGGGCGAAATATTCTAGGAAATATTGACGCTCTGTCCCCTTTTTATTTGCCTTTTATTTCAACCCGCTAACACATAATTATAGCAGCAAATAAGTAAATAAAAACGATGAAATTTCCACATAATTCTCAAAGACACGACATGTTTAGCTAACACAGTACATTGTACCAGTATATCACCTGACAAAGCTACTGTGTTTGAGAATTTCGTGTGCATCTTATCGTTTTGGAATCAACTCAAAAAAAGTATTGGTATCGGATTGCATAATTCTTATCTCTTTTTTTTTCATCATTTTGCTCAGGATAGTGATTAGCACAGGTGTCCGTTCGATAAACTACAATGTTTTTACATGCCTTTGGGAGATATATCATTTCGTTATCAGATGATGGTCGAAATTGGTCTTCGACTATTCACTTCATTTTCATGTCAAGCCAGACATCTTTCAGTATACTTACTTACTCTCTACATGAAATCGATTTTCCACAGACCACAGTTTTATATCATCAGTAAGTTTCAAGTCAGTGGAAAACCTTCTTCTTCTTTTTCTTCAAAGAACAAAAAGCATTGTTGGGACAAATCCGCTTAAGGGAAATGAAAATAAATCTTCTGAGACCGTCGTGCTACGCAGGCAAAGAGACAGTGGAAATATATTCGAGAGATGTGCGAAATTGATTTAAGAGGCTTTTTATTTCAACAATACAATACTTTGCGGAAATGCTTCGTGATGAGCCGATGAGAAATAGTTCTTGTCACATCCCTTTCTCTTCAATTCAGACTTATTCATTGTTTCTCATTTTCACTCGTTTCCATTTTACGTACTTATATAGGCATGAATGATCCTGAAAAAAATTTCGATATTTGCGGTTGCTGATGCGGTAATGATATTCTTGGGTTATTAATAAAATATGAAAATGTAGTTTCATTAGTCATAGGTTTTCTGGACGATTTTTCCATGAAGTATCAATAATACACAATCTGAGTAATTCATTATTTATTCAACAAATTCATTAAATCTACGTGTCTCACTTCAAACTGTCCCCACTTTACAGGGTGTCCCATAATTAGCCTGCCAAACTTCACCAGCGACTTCTACGACCGAAAATAGATAGAAAAGTTCGAATGAACATAGGTCTCAAAATGGCTCCTAAGGGAGCTACGGCCACCTTAAAGGGGACTTCTGAAGATGTATTTCCTGAATATTTCCGAAACGCCGTGGGATAAAATGATGAAATTTGGTACGCAATACATTCAATACGCGAAAAAGAAGAGTGAGAATCTCAAAAATAGATGATAATCAAAACAAATTCCTGATTCATTCAATATTGGCAATTACTGAGATTTTTTTTACTATCCCTGATGATAAGTAATGCCAGTGGTGAAAAGTCATTCTCAACTTAAAAAAGAGTGAAAAACTACCTAAGGAATTCCATGGTAGAGGATATATTGAATATCTTATCAATTTCAAGTATAACCAGTGACACGTTATCAAATCTGAATTTTGATGATGCCATTGTGACGACTTTGCATCAAAAAAAATCAAGAAAAGTATTTTAGTATTAGTATTCATCTGAAAAAAATATTTGGTGTTTGTTTTTATGTTTAACGTGTGAAGTAAATATAATTATATACAGTATGATGCAAATGTATGGAATAAATTCATTATTTCCGAAATGGGCGACATTTTGAAAAATTCCAAAAACACGTGAGGTTTCATTTTTGAAGCCCCATCTCATGATATCCATATGAGAGATGTTACGTCACCGGTGTTGGAGCAATGACGTAATGAACGATTTTTTCAAATGAAAAAAGGGGTCATGTGACACCTCGTTGGAAAGGTCTACTGATCGTCTATTCAACAGTCAACATTTTGCATAAGAAAATTGAAATAAAAATGGATTATCATATGATTAACTGAATCTTGCAGAGGTCTGCTACTGAGAATTGAACAACAAAGGGTCGTTTATTTAAAAAAATACATCAATTAATAAAGTTCTGAAGTCTAGTTTTTGGATTTTTTCTCGGAAGTCGTCTTGTTTTGAAATGAATTTATTCCATACATTTGCATCATACTGTATGTTATTGTTATATGCTGTAAAAGAAGCAGTGAAAGGATTATTTGAATTTTGAAACTGACAATTGAGAATTAAATATTTGGCGGCGGCGCGGCGGCATCGTAAAAGTTAGCCCCCGGCGTTAGGGAGTATAAATCCGGCACTTATATGGATAAACTTCTATTCTATTCTATTTTGATGTATTCGATAGTTATGCTATGAAACATGTTAGAAATCCATTATAAACACATTTTCTCCTAGAGTCATCTGACAATTCCTAAGATCAATAAAAGCAACTTTTCTAACGTGTTGGATACAAATTGTTCAGTTTCAACTCGAAATCATTTGAACTAGTACTCGTGGAAATGGACTTTATCATACACTTTTCGAGATTCGAGGTTAGAGATTCGAAGGGTTTGAAGGACTTGTCGAATCAATTTTATAAAATTATTTTGTACACACCTATACCTACTTCATTTGATTTGTTACAATTATTATTGTACTAATTTATTGTATTTTGCACTGTCTTTTTGGGGCATATCTTTCAATCAAACTAGTCAAGTACTTTTTGTACTCCTCCGAATTTTTCTTGATAAACGGTATCCTCCACGGTTCTTCATCTTTGGTTTTCGTTTTCTTCATTCCAGGCCAGTGTACCAGATAAGCACCATCTAGTATAACGAACTTGTAACCGATAAGGCACATCTCCAACATCTAAAAAAATCACTCGAATTTATTTCATCGATGAGAAAAGTTCAATTTGTTTTTACCTGTAACATTTTGTCTTGCAGTCCTTCCCAGGATAACAGTTCATTGTACAGAGGTTCATTCTTTGTTCCTATATAGATCGGTTCCCATCGATGGTAAGGCACTTCTCTTCTTACTGTTGCCAATGGCTGCAAAACAGAATCACTAATGAAGTCAGGCAAGAATAAAAATCTATACTTATTATATGAACAAGTAATCATTATTTTTCCTACATTTCAAAAGTTTTGCATGCAAATCGAAGATGTCTTTGATAATACCACTATAGCTTTCATCTGTTGCTCTTAACGAATCTTTTCCAGTCCTTGCTTGATCTGTTGTTCGGTTAGACACATCTTTTCTATCTGTCGTTCTTCTCTTCAGTTTACTATTTGCTTGTTGTTTATAGTTTAATTTGTTGTTTCAACTATTTTGTGGCCATCTCATGTTTTTTCTCTTGTTCTTACCAAAGTCGTTGCTTCGTATATTGTTTCTAAACAAATCACTTTTTTGTCCTGCTGACTTCTTCTCCTCAGTGCCTGCTTTGTTAATATTGTTCAAGCTCTTTATTATTCATTAGCTAGTAACTGCATTCTCGAGTCACTGCTCGACGGGTATTATTTTTCCCAAGACTATATTGTTTGAATTTGTTTTTACATGTTTACATGTGTACAAGGTGTTACAAGTTGGATGAAACATTAGACGTATCTGGAGAACCAGACGACAGATCACTTCGAAAATTTTTGGGCGTGAATAATTCAGCATGCTCTATTGTGAACAAGTAATCATCATTTTTCCTACGTTTCAAAAGTTTTGCATGCAAATCGAAGTTGTCTTTAATAGTACCACTATAGCTTTCATCTGTTGCTCTCAACGAATCTTCTCCAGTCCTAGCTTGATCTGTTGTTCGGTTAGACGCATCTTTTCTATCTGTTGTCATTCTCTTCAGTTTGCTATTTGCTTGTTGTTTATTGTTTCATTTGTTGTTTCAACTGTTCTGTGTCCATCTCCTGTTTTATCTGTTATTCGTTCTCTACTCAATAATGTTTTTCCTGGTGCTCTTTCCAATACTCGTTGGTTGCTTCATATATTGTTTCTAAACTTGTACACATACAAAATACTATGAAATACAGGGTGTTCCATTCGAAATAACAAAGTTCCTACTAGTTCTTAATAGGAACGACCGCATTGTCGAAAATATTTTAGACGGATAGAGCATGCTTGATTATCCACACCCACTAATTTTTCAAATGAATTTTTGTTCGGTTCACCATATATGTCTAATGTGCCATCCATGAAGTTCTCTTCATGTTGAAGCCATCTAGTGGCAAAGCTCTAAGGTAGGATCAAGAGATCGCGACAAACACTGTATGGCGCTGCCATCTATAGTCACACGTATAGACCCTCACGTCTATACGCTTCAGAGTGGTACTACAAGTAAACCACTCTGCTGACAGATGGCACTACCATCGACCTATTCAACTGCTAGATCTCATAACTAAGAGATCCAGGATGAACAAAGTTGGTCCAATTGTCAGAAGGAGCGAGACAGTACTGTTTCGACCAACCAGGTATCATCAGTCGCTCTCGGTCTGCTGACAACTGGGACAACTCTACGCTTCGGGTTTATCACCCATAACGAAGTACCCTTTGTATAGTTGTCTGTTGCTCACTGTTTTGTCTATTCTTGTTGCTTACTGGTCTACAGCTGATATACACACAATTTTGTCTTGAGCAGTAAAGTTGCTGTATTTTCTATAGATATTGCTGTTCATTGCTATTTCGCTTGTGTTTTTCTTCCCAATCGCTCTTCTTTTCGTCATTGTTTAATTCCACCAAGGTCTGACCAGTTATCTGTCAGTTGCTGTTGCTGTGGCTGCATATGATTAATTCGATATCAAATGAGGTGTGCTGGTGGTAAACAATTAGCATGATTGATTCCTTTTTTTTGGTCTGAGAGCTGTATTATCTGTTATAAGTTACTATTGTGCCTATGACTGGTTCGCCCAGTTTCCTTTTTCTCCGCTAGCTGTTCAGTTGAGGTCGAGCTCTTACCTTGACAGTATCTCCCGGATCAGAAACCAACCAAGCCTCAATGCCTGGAAACCTTTGGCAGTGCGAACAAATGTGTCTGTGAAAGTAGACGGCCTTCTCCTGACCAATCAACTCCTGCAATCGCTCCTTCGTTCGAGGGATTTCCTGGCCTTCTTCCACTTCGAAGATCGGCAGCACGAAGACTCTGTTCTGGCAATCAGCCAATTTGTATTGGTCGATCATTTCGAGGAAACTCCGGGCTAGGTTTCCGCTTGGCATCAGCTGGATGTCTGACACCAAGACATGTTCGGTCAAGGCGGCTGTCCTTGCGGCGTTCCTGCACACGTTGATAGGATACATCACCTTCTCGTCGACATTCCTGGAAAAAAGAATTTGTTTAAGTGTCCAGTTAGCCATGCATCATACTGGACCTATTGATGAAACCAGATCATTATCAGAATACGAACACTTGTCCAAATATGTTTGTTTGGTTGTAGCATGTTCCTAGAATTCATCGATTCATAGCTGGTATTTAGTCCTATTTATATTTCCTAAAAAGTTTAGGATGTGTAAGGGCAGGTATCCTTTTTTGATTTCATGTATCCCATTGCAATGCGCAGTGCATTTTATTCATCTTCCTCGCAGAATCTGCATTTTTCGAGTGCTCCTATTTATCCTATATCTTGGAGCTGATACAGCGCTCTCCAGACTGCCCTGGTGGCAGAAATGATGATGACCTCTTGTCTTTTTTTCATGTTCTGGTTTCCACGAAAAGGAATATCCTGTAATTTTCGGAGAACATTGTGAGAACCAAGGGGAATAAGGTAGGAATTGGTGTTCTTCTTAAATTTATGGAGGTTATATGCCTCGGGGAACACCTACCATGGCAATGTGTTCCAGAGCCTCGCTGTTAGTTGGATAAACGAGTCTTTGGAAAGAGATGTTCTGCAGGTCTCCAAAGTGACCACGAAGGCGTGCGAAGCCTCAATTCGACGGGTTAATCTCGCGGGGACTGCCAAGGGAGGAACAATTGCTGGTATTTCAGAAGAGCATTGTCCATGAGAATATCTATAAAATAGAGCCAGATCGCTAGCTTTTCTACGGTGTTCCAGAAAAGGGAGTGAGTTTGTGGGCGAGGCATCAACCACGAGACGAATTGCCCTTTTTTGGACAGAATCCAACAGTTTCAGGGTATGTTTGAGTGCTGCACTCCAAATATGGAAACAGTGTTCCAGGACAGGTCGGATCTGTGCCTTATAGATCATGAGCAGCTGACTGGAAATGACATCAAAAGATCAAAAATCTAGTTTTTGGGATGCAATATTAGCAATTGATCTTACGTGATTTTCCCAAGAAAGGTTATTGCTGATAGTAATACAAAGCATCGACAGGGATGTCTTCAAAGGTATGGTTACTCCTGAGAAGCTTATGTTGGGCACAGTGAGATCGGCATTTTTAGAGAAAAGCCATGCTTGTGTATTGTTTGCATTGAAATCTACCAAGTTATTGAATCTCCATTCGAAAATTGTTGCCAAGTCCATATTTATGTTGTCAACATTTCTCCCTCGTTCGTTTCTGATTTGCCTGGCTGGTATTGGAGCCCTGGAAGAGAAAGCGGTATGGAGGGTACTATCATCCGCGAAGCTGTGTACTGGACATGAAGTTGCTTCCAAAAAATCGTTGATAGATCGCAGTAGATCTTGTTAGAATCGAGCTGAAGAATTCTTGGGTATGTCCAAGCTTTCTGAGTATTTGATTCTTGGCCCATATATATTCAAATCTGGTTTTCTCTTACATTCTGATAGCTCAGTTGATATATTAGCGATACCATTCATTCTTACAACCCAATATTCTGATAAATCATCTGGAGAATTTGATTATTTTCGAAATTTCGTCCTAAGGCATGTTCCAGGTTTGCCTATGCCACACGATACGGTGAGGAGTGAGATTCACGACTAGTTCCATAGCAGCCAAACTCGACCTTAGCGCAAAAGGATGATTGCTCAACATTTTGGTGCATCCTTACCTTACATTGTCATGATAGTAATAAGGCTTGTCAGTAAGAAGTTGAGAATGTTCTAAGGAGTAATCTATTATTCTCACCTGTAAGTTTGTAGCTGTGACGAATCTTCTACTTCACAGCTGTCCGGTTTAGTGAAATAAACATCTTTTCGGGAGGGAGGTAACGTTTTGTCTATGACTAAATGTAAGGAAACGCGTGCCATTCCTGGAAGACAATAACAGTATTGGTTGAGTTGCCTCAACACTAACGCTACGTCGAGATCAGGAACGAAGGCTGCTATGCTAATCAGCCCGTCCCAATACCTGGAAAATATCAGAACCTCCTGAGTAAAAGAGTCTCCAATTTGGCCTGCCTATACATAGGGATACTCACCTCACTAACTCTGGTATATAATTCATGAAATCAGCTGTCACGTGTGTCGCATAGGTAATAGCAGGCGTGTCAGGAGCTATCTTGGCAGCGACAACATTGTACAGTATCCTGTAGGGACCTTCTTTTCCCTGTTCCGCTCCGAAATTGAGGTCCCCATCGGCGAAATCGAGGTCTCTGGGAAAGTTGAAGTTGTACTCGCAGTAGCTGACGTTGGAGTCGAGAGGCTCGAAACTTTGGAGGAATTTCGCAGGCACTTGATTGCCGTCCTCTGAGTCCGTTGTGAGGATGAGAGGAGCGTTATGGATTTCGGAGTCGATCGAGGGGCTGGAGAGATAGAGGAACGAGATGAGGAGGACAGTGAGGAGGCAGGTAAAGAGGAGGCAAGGGCGAGACAGCTTGAAGTTGTGCATGGCATCGTTTAAGGCTCGCATGATGGGAGTCTCAGGTGATAACGTTTTGTCCACCTAAAAACTCGAATTAGTCTATGTATGTGGAATCGCATGACGAAAGGGCTGAACAGCGATAGTATGTTCATGCCCCTACTTAGAAAGACAAAGGTTCAACATAATATGTGGTATCACCAATTTAGGGCCTACTGATTTCAGGAAAGTCTCACTTTATTCAACCATGGACTTTGTTAAATAGAGTGGATTGAATGTACAGTGAACTGTAACCTCTAGGGGTGTGCCACAAATGTCAGGATAGACCATTCATTATTAGAGCAGTATGAGCCCAAATGTTCTAGGTAGAGTACCTGGAACATCTCATTTCACGCCCTTTGAAGAGTGTGGACACAGTTGTCATGTTGATGAACAATTGAACAAAAAACATGATGCACAAATATGTTTTTCTACTCCTTACTCGGTAAGTACTTCATTTTGATACTGATTTGAGGGAGGAAAACACGTTCTACCTCCCTAGGGAGGTAAGTAAATATTTACCTCCCTAGGGAAGCAAGTTAAATAAACTTCATAATTTAACCTAAAAATTGAAGTCCTTGTAACATCGATTGTACCGTTCCTTCGATTTCTGAGGTAATAGAGCAGCACAAGCTGCATTCGCAACTGCATCGATATCCATTATTTCGATTTTTTTAATAAAATGACACTGACAGAACATTTGTTTGATTATAAACAATATGAATTCCATAGCGATCAACGTGTAACACTAGGAAACCTGTCATACATACAGGGTTTTTCAGTTAGATTAGTCAAATTATATAAGTAATTGAAAAACATTTTTTTTAATCTAAGGGAACTGGAGTAGAAAAAATATAATACAAAACTCGGGAGGCAGTGTTCTTGACCAGTCTCGGACTATTTTGCAAGCCCTCGCTATCGCTCGGGCGCAAACAATGTCCTCGACTGGTAAGTATCACTTGCCTCCCTTGTAGTGTAAATAACTATTTATTTGAGGTGGAATCTGATTTATCTGTACCCTTTCAATGAACGACATATTGTCTGGGCTGGGCTGGTGGCCGTGAGCGTAGAGTCGCTGGCTGTTGCCCAGGCGGTCCGGGTTCGATCCCCGGCGCGAGCACTGAATTAATTTTCGGTAGTTTCGTTGGGCGGGAGGAGATAGGTGGCCAACCCAACATTCTTGGTACCTAGATATCAATCCTTTGGACTGTCCACGGTTACCAGCCGAGTAGTGCTTCGGATGACACTTAAAAAGCTAAGGTCCCCGTCTTCTTAACTCACACAAGTCTCTGACTTTCGAGGGTTGCTTTGCAACTAAGCTGGCGGTTAAAAACACTTTTAAACACACTTTTAAACCCTAACAGTGGCGTAACCCAAAAGGCACATAAAATCCATCACGTAGTTATATCATCGTTGTATGTATTTCCATGGAATGAATAATGGAATTTAGAGCAACAACGAACACTTGAGATTTCTCCTGGTCTTTGGCAACTCAAATTCAAATTTAAATGATAACCATCATTCTTAGAATGTTTGTAATTTGGTACTGAACGAGACATATTCGAAAATATTCTTGCGGAACGCCTATCCAATTTTCAGAACTGTCGTTTTGAATCTGATAATGTTGACAATTAGGAAATATCAGTAGTGACAAGCGTGTCCACAATCTAGGGCGTGTAATGAGATGTTCGAGACACTCTAGTTCTAGGTAAGTAGATTTACAAGTTGTTTTCCGAAAATGATCATTTTTGAGAAGTAACTACAGAATACATATTTTGGCAAAAATTATGTGTTGTTATGAAAAAATGCATTAAATTAGTGATAGAAGTTAGCTCCTCAGACACTGAAATCAGTTTTCCTCTATCTATAAAAAAAATAGTTCTACCAACTTTCCAAAAATGAAATATTGACGATATGGCCATGCCTATAAACAAACTGCAGATATACCGTGATGTCGATGTAGTGATTATTCGAGGAAATCTATTTAGACCATGTCATTATCCTTGAAATCTCTTTTGCCACAATTTCAATGAATAAGTATATGAGTACTCACAATCCAATCTGGAGTATCATCATCGACACTGAGGTATTTTCAATTCTACAAGTCTTCCTCCATCATATATCATCAAGGGTAGTGCTTTTTACGGCATGTAACAAAGAACATGATTCTGAACTCCATAGTTATTCCAGGTGTGAAAACTTCCACATTTGATCAGAGCAAACCAATATACCAGTCATATCCAATAATGATATCTCTTGCTATACAATATTTGGAAATATTTTCTTGGGTTGTCTAACTGTGGATTATGTTTCTCCATATATTTTGAAGATAGAGAACAATTATCAAACTATCACTATACAGACGCAAACTCACTTCTGAAGGCAACGTACTATATTCACAATAGTTTTCAGATATTCTACTTGATCACTCAGATCAAGTATCCTGAGATGAATAACAGCTAGCGCCTTCAGCGGTGGAAATTCGCATGAAAAACAGCTGTATGCGGGAAATTGTTCTTGCGTCGTTTCGTGAAATCAATACGCCGCACATGCGGTGTCTTAATAGTAGGGTTTGTTATTGTCATTCGGAAAATAAGAAATGATATTACCTGTCACGCACATGTTCTACTACTATAGGCGAACATAAATCAAACAGAAATGAAAGATAATCCATGATGTACAAAATATCTATTGAAAAGGAATATTCTCAGATATAATTATGAACATAAAAAAATGGACATGTATTTGAAGAAATACATTGAGAATTCGCATTCTCCATGTGATGAAAATATCACTTATTTCTCGGTTTATTCAACAGAAAACAACTACTTTGAACATTGAATTACATCTACTGAACATACGCGATAAGAATTTGAAAACAAAATCTTCGTGTGTAGGGAATTTGCATTAATCTCCATATAATAATATGCATATTATATCATTCTGAATATTCAACAGAAAACAACTATTTTCCTGGCCTTGCCACGTCGAACATTGAATTATAGCATAAAAAATGAATTATCTCTCAAATCTGATACAATCACATGATTTATTATGATATAAAAATATGACTTACCAATGTGTTCGATATTGGAATGAAAATTGAAATGTATATGAGAAGTATACTTGTATATATAAACACTGATCTTGATGAGCCAAAAGAACCTAATGATAATTAGATTCAACATTGGCAAAAATTGGGAAAAAAACAGCAATAAATTCACTCAAAGGAGTTTCATCTTTTAAGATGAAACCAATTTCCCAATTTTTGCCAATGTTGAATCTAATTATCATTAGGTTCTTTTGGCTGTTCAGTCGGTTCAAAAAAGTATCAATTTTTCCACCGGATTGAATTTTTGGCCAAATGACCCTGCTATTCAAATTTCAATTAATTTGATTATGTGATTCCACGTGTCCTTTTATAGGTACTATATATTGTGTCTGAAGATGGCTGCTTGAGCCGAAACTAGTCACAAAACTTTTGTAATTAAACTTTGTGGTCGACCGACTTAGTGTTTGTGTTTTTCCTTAGAAAAAATCTGGACCACTTTGAGAAGGATGGATGGTTTCCATGACTTGTCTAAGAAATATTCCCATTATATCAGATTTTTGCTAATTCTTTTAATAAACGAGAAATTTCATCCCAAAAATTTTACAAAATACGGGAAAAAAATCAAGAACGCCACTTTGAATTAATTTAAATGATTGAACTCCGCGTGATTGTGGGACCGCATGGAAATTTACAGTGTAGAACTTTGGGTGGAAAAAAGGGGTCTAACCTCAAATCTCATTTCGATCCCTAAATTTTTTTAATAGTGCCATTTGATAGTACACGTCAAGCTTTCTCAGTGTTTGAAATATTTGCACTTATTTCAATGCCACCCTGTATACGCGAATGTTATTCTCGTATAGTGAAAGGAGATGCAAATATGAACTTACCGTATATGAAGATGCTGATATATAGCAGATATGACACAACTACATATAAGTTAAATACAGTTCAAACTTTTTCCTTCACAACACTGGCTAAATGAAAAAAGTGCGACATTTCAAACCCTGTGTAAAAATCCCATAGGATATATCACCACACCTTTATATTGAATTGTATATGTTTCACATTAATACAGAGAGCTCATGAGAATTGCCTCAAAATTTGAATAAACACATAAGAAAACTATCTCATCTTCACCATAATAATCCAAATCAAGTTTCATATAAAATGTTATCAGATGAATTAGACAAATAGAGAAATCCTTCTCTACCAATTTATCATTCATATATAATAGTTGTTTCCATGTCCAAATACTACGAAATATCGTGAACCATGAAATAATATGAATATTTTGAATACCATGAATAACCAGCAATATGAAAACATTATATTGTACTTCTTCAAAATTAACAAGATAGCAGGTTCACTGCATACTGATTCTTTGATTGATAGGTAGTTCCACAACGCCTCTTGTATTTTTTTCATGTTCTGGTTCCCACGAAAAGGGATATCCTGTATTGTTCAGAGAACATCGTGAGAACCAAGGAAATTGAGGTAAGAATTAGTGTTCTTCTTGAATTTCTGGAGGTTATATGCCTCGAAGAATAACACCCCCTTTGGCAATGTGTTCCAGAGCCTCGTTGTTCGTTGAATGATCGAGTCTTTGGAAAGAGATGCTCTGCAGCTCTCCAAAGTGACCACGAAGGGGTGCGAAGCCTCAACTCGACGAGTTAATCTCGCGGAGACTGCCAAGGGAGGAACAATTGTTGATATTTCAGGAGGGCATCGTCCATGAAAATATCTATAAAATAGAGCCAACTTTTCCACGGTGTTCCAGAGCAGTGAGTGAGTTTGTGAGCGAGGCATCACCCACGAGACGAATTGTCCCTTTTTGGACAGAATCCAACAGTTTCAGGGTATGTTTGGGTGCTGCACTCCAAATATGGGAACAGTATTCCAGGACAGGTCGGATCTGTGCCTCATAGATCATACGCAGCTGACTGGAAGTGAAATAGCTCCTGGCCCGAAACAGAAAACCAAGTTTTTGGGATGCACTTTTAGCAATTGATCTCACGTGAATTTCCCAAGGAAGGTTATTGCTGATAGTAATACCAAGCATCGGAATGGATGGCTTCAAAGGTATGGTTACTCCTGACAAGCTTATGTTGGGCACAGTGAGATTATATTTTTCGACAAGGTCATGTAACTTTTTCAATATCCTAAATGTGAGGTAGCAAACGCTTGACGTTTTTATTGAAAAAAAATACTTGCCAGTTTTCAAAGTTGAACTGTATAAAACTCATTTGCCTCTGCAAACTGCAATGCTCGACACGAAAAGGGAACGTTTGCCAAATGTGAAACTATTTGGAACCCGCCGTTTAAATTTTTTATTACTATGCTGATTTATATGAGTATGCGGTAGCCAAGTTGAAGGTTATAATTTTATAATAGTGTTTCCTTGGAAATTATAAAATTTCTAATTACCACTGATATACATACTTATCTAAATTATTGCTCCCAATATTGAATGCCTTGGGGTTATCTATCTGGAAGGAGCTGATTCAGAGAATTAAAAACAATCATCAATCAGATTATGGGAATACAAATTCCTTCGATTTTGCAAAACAAATTATGTTGCTTGGAAACCACACGCGAGTGTGTTTTTCTTAAAAGAGAAGGAATTTTCGATACTCATCAATAACACGAGTTGTATTCGTTAAGATTATTACACTCATTATTCCATGGATAAAACAGTTAGTTCATCTTGTATTTCCATATGCATTCGATGAGTTATGCATACATACATCCATCAAAGAATTCAGAACGTGACAACTGACAGCGACTCACTTCAATATAAACTGTCAAATGATCCAAGGATTGTCAGGTTTGAAATTATGTTATGGTTAGGAGGTATTACCCATGAGTTCATTTGGTTGAAATCAAATGTGTTTCTTTGGAATGTCGATCATACACGGAAAAAAAGTTTTGTTGGACAAACAAAATAATTTTGGTAATTTTTTGTTGTTAAATTAAACACAATTTTGCGAAATCAACAAGATAAATGTTCATTCCAAATAAGCGACTTATTCAAAAAAACAAAATAATTTGTATGAAATATTTGCTCACTTGAACAAAAGTTTCAATTCATCCACCAACATTTATAGTTGACATAAAACAAATTTTCTTGATTCAACTATCATCTCATTCTTCAATCAATTATATGCATCTTATCTATTGGACAAAATTAAATTAATTTTGACAAAGATTCAACTCAATACAACATCATATTTTGTTTATTCAACAATCATTGCATTGTGCAACCAATCAAAAATTTTTTTTCGGCAAAATTGAATTGATTATGACAACATAATATTTTGTTGATTCAGCACATCATTATCAAGGAATATCTTGTTATTTCAAACAGATTATTTCGCTGAACAGAACTCACAGATACATTATATCAAACAAATATTTTGTTGAATAATATTGTAGCAGCCTGGTATATAAATTAATAATATACCAGGCTGCTACAATATTTTGTCAATTCTAGATACAATTTTGTTGATCGAATAAATTGTTTCATTGAATGAGAAAACTATTTTGTAATATTCAGAACATATATTGTTATTTAAACATATATTCACTCTGAGAAACTGAAAATTTTGTCACTTGAATGAAATGATTTAATCATTTCAATCAACAGAATCTGTTCATTAGAGCAGATATTGTACTATAGGAACAAAATAGTCTTTGTTTATTCAACCAATTCCTGCTGTCAATTAGAAACTTTAATGAGTTGAAACAAATGAATTTTAAATTGAGAACTGACAAAAAAATTTGTTGCGGTGACAAAATCTTTGATCGTGGATATATGACACTCAGATTTTGTTGAATTCACAAAAATTTACAAATTGTTTTTTCTGTGATACAAGTTTTTAGAATTTTCCGATATACAAATCAAAAGTGAGTGCCTATCACGATTTTGTAATCCTGAATATGAAAATATTATGACATCCATGACAGCCTGCTGCTGGTAATAAGTTATTTCGTTTTATTTTTGATCCATCTATCAAAACGGAAGCGAATTATAAAATCGAATTTATAATGTTTCGATTTTCAACACAGATATTTCAACCAATCAGAAACGCGCATTTTGAAATAAGCAACCGTCCTCTACAAATAATCATCAAGTCTACCAACCTCGGTCACCCCTTGAAAGTGAAGTCATCACCGATGGAACACCCTGTATATTGACATAAAAATGTGCCATTCAGTTTAGCGGAAAAAATAATTGAAAAAAACAACTATACATACACCCACCCCTTTGATGTTTCCAGGTAACCTAGATCGGACGTTGATTGATCGTCATCAAACTACCGTGCAGGAACGACCGTACCGACGTTCTTTCGTCACGCCATGGAGAGGAGCGCCGCGACGCCGATGCTGAAGTCGCCAGATCGCTAGTTCTGTCTGTCTCATTTTTCCTGGAAAATAGTACTCCTGTATAGCTTCCATGGCATTCACCGTTTTAGAGATAATACGATTACGAAAATCTGCTGCTTAACTTCTAAATCATGACTCCCTATATGTAGAGACAAAATAGGTATTTATGTAACAAGTGTGTGAAGTGCTACTTTTTTTCACGAGTAGGAAATGTTCCAATTCCTATGAGTAAAAAAACACTTCGCGCACGTGTTACATTGAATATTTCTCCTACAACTGGCAAAAAAGAGGACAAGCTCATTCAACTTATGGTGTAAAGTAAATAATCAAATGATATTTCCCAATTATTACCAAGTACATTTACTCATTTAATGTCACTTTATTGATAACACCGGGTTCCTAAGGACGAAATAGCGGGAGCCACTGCCGAATACTTTGAATAAATCGCTCATCCGATCGCGTTCAGCGATGATGATCAAATCATACATGAGATGCGAGCATATTATTATCTAATAGGCGAGGATATCGTGGCACCTTCTTCCCGCTCCCATCTCTATTTCACTGGCACTCCATACGCAATACGAAGTCAGCCGCCTTGATTTGTTCGCTTGCTGCCTTGCTGAATCCCGTAAAGGAGCCCATAGACTGCGTTGTTGGTATGTTCGCACAGAAATGACGCAAAACTGGAGTGTGTGGCTAGCGAAAACGACCACTTTACAGCCACACACTTCGGTTTCGCGTCATTTTTATTCGAACAGTATTGTTTTTTCTAATAAAACAGCCTAGCAACAAGCGTGAAAAAAGTGTACTTTTTTCACACTTTTCGCTAAAATAATGAAACTGTGTCTTGCTATTGAAAAATTCTTCACTTCAGACACAAAAAATATATTTCAATAGTGCAGATTTTTTGAGAGTTGTAGGAAATAGTAGATTGTTTCATCAGGATCAAAAGTGACACTTTGTTTGACAAGCGAATTTTGCATTTGCGAGGCGGAGATTTCAGCGAAGCCGAGCGAAAGAAAAATCTGCGAGTCATACAAAGTCACTTTTGATTCGAAAGAAACATGCCATTTTTTCCGTGTGGTGAGAATATTCTACCTGCATAAACAATACATTTATTCAATTTTCAATGATGTTCGAATTGTAGTTTCAATATAAATACAACCACAGAGTGACATATTCGTGTATCGACCATGCTCTAATGGCAAATACCGCGCCAGTGGTCAGGTATAGAAACAAGACGTGGAAAATGTTTGGTTAGTAAGCATATCAACAATAATAATGGCGATTATTTATTTCTCTCCATACTCCACTGTATTTGGCTCGATAATCGAATAAAAGTAAACAATATCGTTGTTTGAGACAAACAACTATTGCTGACCGTGATTATTCAAAAACAAGTTGTCCATCCCGATTATAACGAATGATATAGAGATCAATCAAGTATTTGAATCTTGAGGGCTTCCTGATCGAAACAAAAAAACTTAACTGAGATGTTTATAATTGCAATACTCAACTACAATAAGGTACATTTATATCACCAGCATGGGTATGGAATGCCAAATCTGCCGAAATCAGAAACAAATCAGGTATGCGTCCCAACCCAAATAACCAACCGTAACAATGTTGTTTATTCTTGATGACGTCTAGTACATCTTTTTTAGTTCCTAGGAGCTAAAGTTCAACTTTAGCTCCTGTGTGGCCAGGTAGCCGTGCGGACAGAGTGTCTATATTCTAACTCGCATTCGCTTGCCGGTCGTGGGTTCGATCACCGTCGACTGCAGAAATTTTTCTGATGGCCCAAGAAAGTGTTTGGGATCACACGTTAAAAGGTATAAGGCCCCCGTCATTCCTTGCTCGCACAAGACTTTCGAAGACTTTTGAGGGTTGCTCGTAAGGGGGCAACCGAATGACGGATAGAACAAATTCTAGAACAAATTTAGGAACTGAAGTTCAACTCTAGCTCCTAGGAACTAAATATGTTGCCTAGCAACATATCTATTTTTGTGTCAGTAATAGAAACTTCAATTCAAGTGCTAATTTTGGTATCAAAATGGACGACTTTTGTGTCGGTTGCAGAGAAAATATATTCATGGAGTGCAGTTTTTTTACAGTTGTAGGAAAGGTAATCTTATGAAAAGTGACATTTCATAACTTGTCAACAGAGATGAAATGTCAAACATTTATCCTGACACAGAAAAAAACAACTATGAATACAGCTGATGTATCCAGGTATCCTGGATCGGAAGTTGATTGATCGTCATCGATTTGCCGTGCAGGAACGGCCGTTTCGACGTCGTTTCGGCACGCCACGGAGAGGAGCGCCGCGACGCCGCTGCGACGTTGCGAGCGCGCCAGTCCTGTCCGAGGCGCCGCGACGTCTGCCTGGTGATGTCGGAGCGTCGTGTCGACGACCCCTGCGTGGGACTAGGGGAATCCGAGGTGGTTTTCGACTTCGAGGGTTGACAAGGGGGTCGGTGACCGATGAAATTCGATAATGGTAATATGATTTTTTTTGTACAACTGTTGAAAAAAATTTTGACACTTCTGCATCTGTATTGATGCGTGAATGTTTACTTCTTTCACTGCCAAAATAAATCACAGAATAAACATTACAATATTACTTCATGAAGTATTTATTCATAACAGATTAATTTATTAATTGATTATTAATCGTTGAACAATTTCAATCATTGGAATGATAATAATTGATATTGAAGTATGAAAAATGACTTCCAACATAAATATCATGTTGCTACTGATCAGAAACGTTAGGTATTTCTCGAAAAGTTCATTCCACAATTCTATGTGATATTTCAATTTGTTTGGAAGAAGATGGACAATTCAATATTTCGTTAAAAATATCAATTCTGTGAATTCACATTCACAGTTCAACAGAGAATGCTGTTTGTATTTCGTGTATAAGATTCGTATTCACATTATGGACTTTTCTTCTCAGAATGAGGTAAAGAACTATAATCCTATATCGCTAGTCATCAATTAAATCACACCCTGTACATATAGTATTCAATTTGAAATAAAAAATAGTTATTTTTATATTAAGTGCGTGAAATGAAGGTTTTTTCATTGGCACATCAAAGTGTTGAAATTCTCTCGAACATATGCCCCAAACTAAACTTTCGAGTTATTGGGTACTAGAATTTCAGGAAAAATGTATTGATTGAAGTACCTCTCACAATGTAAAAAATTGTCACCTTCATGAAAACATGTCAAAATTAGACCGCAACGTAAACCATCAAATTTCATTATTTTAATTACAAAATAGAGCAACAGCCCATTAGTTCAGAATAATTTCGTTATACCACAAATGCATGATAATTATTTTTATTTGTCTACGCGAAATCGGTGTGAGACGGAAAAGTTCGAGAAGTCAAAGTGTTGCAAAATAAATAAGAATTCCAAAACTTATTTTTTATTTTTGGTAAAAGCCAGGGCGCGTACAATATTCCTTCAGGAAAAACTTGAGTATATACAATCCATACGAACGCCACTTATATAAATATTGAAAAATCTCCTTCTCAAGAAATGCCTATTGGTGCCTAGGTGCAAGTCGAATTTCATGAAAATATCTGGAACAGTATTGACGTTATGATAAGAAAACGATTTTTGTCTTATACTATTCAAAATCAGTATCTGGGAGTTTTCAGAAATTCAAGATGACGGACCCAATATGGAGGAAGAATTTGTGATCATAATCCGATTCTATATTCAAAATTGATATCTGAAGGTTTTCGAGGTCGGAGATTATGATTCCTTTGTCGAAATTGGAAAATTCAAGATAGAATATGCAAAGGAGCTTTGTAATGAATAGTGGTTTGAAAAACTAATGAAACGCGCTTTCATAGATCGAAGAACTAAGAATAGATAGTAGTTTGAAAGACTCAAGAGATAGATCGCCGATTAAAAAAATAAGTGGAAAATAATTAGAAGCTTGAAAAACTAATGAAACACACTGTTATGGATAGCAAAGCAAAAAACATTCGAAAATGCAAAAATAAAAGTGTGTTGATAAATATTCAACTGGAAGAATATTTTCTAGAAATAATGTTTATGGCAGAACAACGTTTGTCGGGTCACCTACTATTTTATAATAATCATTATTCAAAAGTATAGAAAACTTCAACAATACGTGTTTTACTACAATTTTTGGTCCCCTGTTATCGTAATTGATCTGTTTGTCTGGAATAGATAATGAATGATATTATATTGATTTCTCGATAGTATAGCTAACTATTACGGATGTCTGTATACATGTAGCCGCGAAATTCGACCGACAGCGATACACATTAGTCCTCTTGATTCGATGGAGAATAAGGAACATAAGGTCCTTAAATGTAGTTAGTTCCAGAGATGCAGAGTGTTGAAGTTGAAAAACAAAAGTTTTCAGGAAAAAATCGGAAACGGCTGAATGATACCTAGATTTATGATTTTCTCTTTGAAATCATCAATTTTTACGATACAATAACTTCCGCATGGCAATTTCTTTTCACTCCCAGAGAAAACATTCTATTTCAGGTTGTTCTGTTTTATTTGGGGCGTGCCAATGTTTGATAGGATTCACACCTTAGTTTGCCAATAACTTTCATCTTTGTCAATATATTTACTATATAGAATGCTTCTCTTCTTAGTTAATTCAAAAAATTTAAGGTCTGTTATTTTCAGATGCTCAGAAATGGAGGGTATCTATGACGTTTTCATGCACAAACATGATCAATTATCTGTAGTTTTACCTGAGACCTACACTTGTCTATATGCTGAGGACTTGACACTTTTATTTACAGGAAGGAATGAGTATACTGTACAAACCACTATTCACTCCAATCTCAAAAATCTCTACTGCTCGTTATCAAATCATTCTCTACTCCTCAATCCATGCAAAACCTCATACATGCGATTTCAAATACGTCAAAATGATAGAAGCATAAGCTAGAGATTCAAGTCAATGATTAGGTTATAAAAGCATCAAACTGTGTGAAATTTTCAGGGCTCACTTTGGAGAGAAACTTGAAGTTCACAACACATTGTGATACTATCATGGAAAATTTGAATACAAAATGCTACCAGATTAGGGTTTTGAGAACTGTTTTGAACAAAGAGACACGGTTATTATTTCACTGTTGTGATATACAGCTTTCTGATTTGGGGTAGCTCATCTTCTATGAATTATGTTTCCATAACTCAGAAAATGATAGTCGGATGCATTGCCAGTACTTCTATGAAAACTTCCTGTCGAGGTTTATTCAGAGAATATAATATTCTGTCAATTTATGATTCATACATTCTGGAATTATTACAGTGTTTGAACATAAAAATGTTGGTTATTATGAAACTTACGATAAAAAAACATCTCCACACAGGGCCGTCTCTAGCGGGTGTGCGAGGTGTGCACAGCACACCATCAGGCCAGAAAGGGGCGCCAAACGTAAGGGAAAACGATAGAAAAATTCCTACTTCCAAATTAAAATATTCATTGAATAATTGACTAGTTCTATTCCAAACATCAAAACATGCCGACGAAAGGCAAAGGGGGTCGGGACAGGAGCGTAAAAAACAAAGTACGGAATATAATAAGTCGGTTATCTTTCGTGAAATCCTTTGCCGATTCGCGCCTGATTCCAAAATGCGTTTGATGCAGTCCCGAATTGGCCAAATATTTTTGCTCACTTTACAGGAAGCCGGTGGCGGCAAACAATGTATGATCTTAACAATTCGCAATTCGCCTTTGAAAGCCGCCCAGGGCGCCCAGCGGCACTAGGTTATTTTTATTTACAGTCGGCGTTTTTTTCACACATAGAAAATTTGATGTAGGGGTTTGAGTGGGGTGGTATATTGAACAAAGTTCATGGAATATAGTCATTGACATTGTCTTTTGATCTACTTCAGTGATTCAGTTCGTTTCATGGTCTCCAGTGTTTGTGTTCCATTAAAGAAAAAAAAAATCTAGGAGTGGAAATATAAAATTAAGTATAGTGACTGGAAATATTTCATTTGCGTAGGTAGTCAGTTTTATTATGAATTCTATGAATTATAGGAAAGGAAATCTGAAAAATTATATGGCGCACAAAATCAAAAGAGGCTGTAATGTACTAGCTCTTCAGATAATTTAGTTCATTTGTTTTCAAATTTCACGGTAGCTTTGAGAATTTTGCTAACACTGCCAGTATCTGTTGCAACAGGAGATAGATCTTTTTCGAAATTGAAGATAATAATAAAAATATTTGTGGTCGACAATGTCCCAAGAAAGATTGTCTAGTTTAGCAACTACATCAATAGAATCAAACTTATTAGATACTTTGGATAAAAGCGATTTAATTACAGATTTTGCTACTCAGCAAGCCCGTAAAGTGCCATTTTCGTGAATTGCAATATTTCTCCTTGTGTGTTCATTATATTACCTATAACTCACCTGAATACTCTCAGTTGATGAAATATGAATGCATTTCTAGAGTTCGTTCTTGGCTCTGGTTGTTTATTTCAGAATTTAATTTTATTTTCATGTATATTAATGATTTGTTAAATTGAATTTTCATTATACATAAACGTATTCATTTTTGAAAATAAAACTGTTGAGAACATCAAATAGTTTGATTTTATATTTTGTAGCATCAGCTTTTCAGTTTGTTAATTCAATAAACTCCAAATGGGGGCGTATTCTGGGATTCGCACACTAGCAGACAAATCTGTAGAGCCGGCCCTGTCTCCACACTCCACATGACCAAAAATCGTTTGTTATTTTGGCAAAAATCTTACCAAATTGTTGGGAACATTGAAACAATTTGAAATGAAGATTAAATATGTGATAATATGGTATTGAAGAGTTCATTGATTATTCCAAATAAGGCATGTTCAATGTTTATCTATGTCTATTATGTGTGTTTAGTTTCATACCATTTTATATATTTTTATCTGCAATTCCTGTATGAATTGTTTCATGACTTGTCCCATAACTTGTATAAGTTCTTCAAAATTGGACCAATAAATCTATCTATCTATCTATACTATCAATATGATAATCAAATACACTTCATCTAGCTAATCCAGATATACAGACTTCTTTCATCCAATTTTTTTTTCATTTCAGAAACTCCTGATCAAAATCAAGAACCCCTTCCAGCTATCAGCGCTCATCAACATACTCACAAGTTCGTGATTCCATCGAATGAAATTTTCGACTTCAGCAGCGATATAAAGGTTGTTTTCAACATACGCTACACCATATGAATTCTTTGTCAGAAAAATCCATTATAATAAACTAGTGCTCTCGGTATGAAAAATCCCAAGATGACAGACAATTTCTTCATTTTTCGTTCAATTCACCTCTGAGAATTCACATTCAAAATCACAGAAAACGTAGAGATTGACAGCTACACATGCATTTTTCTCAATTCTCCACCTTTGGGTTAATTGTGGGTTTACAAGTGTACGATATCTCACCATGCACAGTTTCTATATATAACGTATGTATACATCTTGAATATCAACATACGTCAACCGAACTTTTTTTTATCGCTTGGAGCGCACGAAAAGAAATCCCTATAATGTTCAAAGAACATCGTGCGTTCCTAGGGAGGATAGGGACAGGAGGTAGGTATTGGAATTTTATTTGAACTTCTGGAGATTATATGTTGTTGGGAATACTTCCTCAGGCAATGAATTCCAGAGCCTAGCCGTTCTATGGATGAAGGAGTTTTGATAAAGTGCTGTTCGACATCTTTCGAGGTTGACAACGAAAGGATGTGCTGACTGGGCTTGTCTAGTTCGTCTGATTGGTATTGCTAGTGAAGGGATGATAGCAGAGACTTATTCCAGATTAGCTATATTAGGATCTTCAAAGGGTTCTGCATAAGGTTTCTCTCATTTCAACTCGAATGAATGTTCAGATCTAACCAAATAACCAAAATTTTTCAAAAAAAGACAGCAAAATGTATGACAAACCATAAACCAGCTTTAAACTATGCTTTTTGAACGTTAACATCTACGTGGAAGTCAACGTACAATCTTTGATTGATATATCACGGTACAGTGAATACTGTCTCGGCTCTCTCTATATCAATAACCCGTCAGACAGTCTAGATAATCAGTTGTCATTGTCTATACCAAGCAATTTGTATTGAGGCGTGACATTAAAACTTCTCTATGTCAAATTAATTTTGAGAGGTTGTCATAGTTCGAACAGAATGTGACTTGTTCGTGATTAATTCGAATGAGTAAGATAAAGCTGAGAAAAAATCGAGCTCTATAATTATCTTTCCTGACAACATGATTCAAGAATTGAGACAAGAATGCGACACTGAGAATATTTTCAAAAATAGGTAATGGTGATTACAATCAAACATTTTTATAGCATATTTGAAATCCATCTACATTGTTTTTGGATGTACGACAAATTGATATTCATCATACAGGAAGGACATGGAAAGAAATTCTGAATTGAGAAATCACGAATCTGCGATTGAAGGTCTATAAAAATATATAATTTTTTTTTGTTCTAAAATTTGTTCTAAAATTTGTTCTATCCGTCATTCGGTTGCCCCCTTACGAGCAACCCTCAAAAGTCTTCGAAAGTCTTGTGCGAGCAAGGAATGACGGGGGCCTTACCTTTTAACGTGTGATCCCAAACACTTTCTTGGGCCATCAGAAAAATTTCTGCAGTCGACGGGGATCGAACCCACGACCGGCAAGCGAATGCGAATTAGAATATAGACACTCTGTCCGCACGGCTACCTGGCCACCATAATTATATACATTAGTTTCCATCGTTCACCCCTTTTGACCGATAATTAATAGTTTTGACACAAAAAAAGTCTAAAGTTGAAAAATCACGATTTTGAACACCCTATATCTCAGTAATCATTCTTGCTAGACCCCAAGTGTGATGAATCGATGAAATCAGCTTTTCAGGGAGAATCTGAAAATCCAATAAAATACAGGGTGTTCTATTTAAAATAAGGAAGTTAATAGAAATTCCGGAATAACTGAAAAAGTGGCAACATCGACGATGACATTTTCAAATCCACCACGTTTGAAATCACCATGTACTTATGTTAAAAATAATCTATCAAACGGTTACCGAGATATTCAGCTGGTTCCTTACTTTTGCCCAACCCTGTATAAAGAAATACATTGAGAATTCGCATTCTCTATGTGATGCTCGTCAGCTAGTGTGATTATTCACCAAATAGTAAATATCGACAAATCACAAGAAAATCAAATTTTTAGTCGTTTTTTATATTGAAAATGTATCATGTTAAAGTACATCGTGATAAATAAATTGTCCAATGATGAAAAAAGAAGAGCATATAAGACAAACGGAAAAAGAAGGTGAAATTTTGAACTTTCTCGTGAAATATGAAATAGGAAAGTACCAAACTTTTTTTTCGAAAAGAACCCATCGCATGATAAGTGCAAAATTACCAAACTTTATCAAAAGAAGAATGGATATTTCAATCCACCCGAATCAGATCGAGAATTGAACTTGATATTCCCAATCGCTTTTCGCAGGTGATAAGATCCACCATGTACGAGCCGGTCCTGGATCGGTGCGTCACCACCACCGTCATAAAGCCCAGCAAACACCCCATCGAAGAATTTTCCATAAACGGGTACGGCGACCATGACCAGAACGACCCGGAGCCTCCGGATAAGCCTCCCAGGAGGCAAGCCAGGCCTCTGGAGCATCGAAAGAGTCGACAGGAATTGGAATCCGAGGAAGGTAATAGTATATTAGGTAACAAGTGTTATAAACGTCCTTTTAGTAACGAGTATTTTAAGCACGAGCGGAGCAGAGCGAGCGAGTGTTTAATAAACGAGTGTCTAGAAGAGTTTATAAACGCGTTACATACTATGCTTTTTCTACGAACTCCGAAAATTACATTAACTACCTGCTATTCCTGCTAACCTACAAAATAATTCGAAAGGAATGGGAGTTGAGAACATAATACATGCAACCGCATGCAACCAGCGAGACACGTATAAGTGATATTGGTTGTAGATGTGTCCACTGTCCAGTCCATTGCTTACTAACCTTTGTGTAACCACAGTATACAGGGTGTATACTGTGGTGTAACGTGTATCGTCATGCTCAGCGCATAATAAATAAATTGTTCTCAAAGATGAATGCTTCATTTTTACACTTCTTGGAGATATGCAAGTACCAGAACATTCTCTTCGATTTCACTTTCGTCTACATTTCGCATATATTTTTAATAAAGAATTCTGATACAAACGAATATTGTTTGAATAATTCTGATACAAAATTTGGAAATAACAGTTGACAGTTAATACAATTGACAGACCAGTGACCAGACATGTCTCAAATTACTGAAGCTGTGTTTAATGAACTGTGTTGTCATGGTAATGTGTTTAAGAAATCGTGTTGCCATGGTAACGTGTTTAATATTTTGAATAAATCACAGATCGACAATCCGTGATAAATCGATCATTTTGCGTGGTACATATCCGTACGCTAAATGCCATTTTAGTTATGTGAGTAGAAAAAATCATAAATTCGTTGAAAAAATAATATTAAAACAAGTGAGAAAAGTCTCCGAGTCGTCTACATATTGTTTTTTTCAACAGGCACGTGGAAAAGTCCACTTCTTGAACTAGTGCGGAAACCTTTTTATCCTCACTTAGTGCGGCAAAGTGAACATGGTTCTTTTTCGGGGAGTATACCTTTTGACATTTGAATATTTAATAATAATAAATGTTTCTTTATGTTACCCTTTGAGTTAGGCCATCTGCAATCGCACTTGTCGCAAAGTCCACTTGTCTGCACTCATTTTAGTGTTGAGACAGTCACTTTTCCGCATTAGTGCGTAAACCATTTTTTCCGCACTTAATGTGGGAAAGTGGATTTGTTAAGTTTACTGACATTTATATAGTTAAAATATATATTTGTTTGGTTGTAGTTTACAAATGACTGAGAAATTAAGAAATTCATTAAAATTCTGCTGAACTCTTTAGTAAAAAGAAAAGTATGTTTCAATGATTTTTTAATAGCCCTGGCATAAACTACAACAAATAAATGTCAAATAATAATCAAGACCTTACATTTTCATCAATTAATTTGCAGGATGCTACAAATTATACGTTCTTTTTTTTTTCACTGTTTATTTTTCCCCTTCTTGTTCACTATAATATGACTGACTGTATCTTAATGATATGTAAGTTTTTTTCACTATTTTTAATTTCAATTATACAACAGTCGATAATACTTCATGAATGATCTTATACCAGGAATTACTGTCTGATCATTCATGTCATTCCTACTAGAAAATCAATTATACTTTATATATTATTTGTATGAACTGTATCAATGAAGAAGAGAATGTAATGCAATAACTGAAATAAATAAATAAATAAATTATTTTAGAAAAAAAAAATATTGATATTATAATAATAATTCAATGTTGTATATGTTTTCAATAATAAATGTTTCTTTAAAAAAAAATAAATCAAAATGTAAAACGGTTTTATTAGGATCAAATTTGCACCATTATCGTGTGGAATCGAATTAAACATGTCGAACGAAAGAAAACAGGGAAGATCAGTGGGTATAATAATATGTATCTCTCATCCTGTACTCAGATGTTTTCTATTCATATTTGTATTCGTCGCGATTTTGGTAAAAACATTACATAATTCGTTTATTCTACGTCATAATAACGTACCTACAGGTAATTGTTAACATAACGAGTCAATAAATCAGTCGTGTTAGGTATATAAAAAAATATTATCGCTGCCTACTAATTTAGTGCAGTAGGAGAGAGTGGAGCAAAATGATATTCCTCATAAATCAACTTGTATACCTATTAATCACATGGAGGTCGATGGTCTGAACAACATTAGCGAAAAAAGTATAGTCGATTGAACTCTATTAGTTTTCTAAAAGTGAAATTTCATGAAAAAAATCGCCATCGAAAGCTGCGACTGAGTTTTCATTTACTCTCTTTTTTGTAGATTCACAACCCCAAAATTTGAAAAATGAAATAGTTATTTGTATAAATAAGCCGCTAATTACCTTTTTAGAGTACCGAAAGTTGAAGGGGGTTGAAGGGGGTTGGAGGGGTTGGAGGGGGTTGGAGGGGGTTGGAGGGGGTTGGAGGGGGTTGGAGGGGGTTGGAGGGGGTCGGAGGGGGTCGGAGGGGGTCGGAGGGGGTCGGAGGGGGTCGGAGGGGGTCGGAGGGGGTCGGAGGAGATCGGAGGGGGTCGGAGGGGGTCGGAGGGGGTCGGAGGGGGTCGGAGGGGGTCGGAGGGGGTCGGAGGGGGTCGGAGGGGGTCGGAGGGGGTCGGAGGGGGTTGGAGGGGGTTGGAGGGGGTTGGAGGGGGTTGGAGGGGTTGGAGGGGGTCGGAGGGGGTTGGAGGGGGTTGGAGGGGGTTGGAGGGGGTTGGAGGGGGGCCCTCACTTTTATTGGCCAAGAAGTGTGGTCGACTAACTTGGAAATGTGGTGCATTTCAGGACACATGTTTTTATGAAGAAAAAGGCATATTTTGATCCTAACCTTGAAATATTTGCATCGAATTTTGAATCACCTTGTATACAATAAATTCACAAAACTTTTCAATCGTTTTTTTTTATGGCGAAGGGAAGTTTTCGCAGTGCGACTTTCCCTCTGCAGTGCAATTACCGCTGTGATTTTACGATAATTGCATTTCTTCGGTTGGTGTACCCATTCAAAAAAATTAGACATTTGTTGCAATCGTTCTGAACTATGCGCATATCTACAGTACATATTTTATCGTCAATTGTTAAAATTTTTCGTGCTTACCCATAGCTACTGTTATATACTCACTTGAAAATTCCAAAATTCCGGTCAAGCCGTTTAGTATTTGATTTACCAACAGCAGCGTCACCTACCGCGTCCAATTCAATTTTCAAATCATTCAGGAAACAATCGAAATACCCATATAAAATTTCAACCCAATAAGTTCAGCCGTTCAGAAGTTATGTGCATGAAAATATATACTTCATTGAATTTGAAATAGGAATCCTAATACACAAGTTAGATATATATATAAATAATTTAAAATATGAAATATAAATATAAAAATTTCCTCACATGAGATCATACAAAACAATTGAAGTACATTGAGTACATAAATATACACAGACATTTACAAGAAGCCTTATTTATGAATTAAAACAATTGACAATTCTAGAAATGCATTCAAATTGAATCAAATCATGTTCTTTATGAATACATTTATTGAATTCTATCCTGAACTCTTCAAACAATGCGATGGATTTCAATTTACAGGGCAAATCATCAAATTTGACAAAGCCTTTGAAAAATATATAGTGCTCATTGAACTTCTGTAATTTGTTCGACTTATATGAAGATTGTTGTTGTTTCGAGTCAAATAATTATTGATAAGTACGGAAGGATAATTCTTACTACCCGTTGTCCTATTACCCGTTTTCCCGTAGGAATGAAGCATTTTCCCGCGGTAAAAAGTAGCCTATGTTCATCAAGGATAATGTCGGCTTTTAATGGTAAAAGAATTTTTCAAATCGGTCTAGTAGTGTCGTAGCCTACTCGATACAAACAAACAAACCTGTCCTCTTTATATTATTGGTATAGATTAAGATAACTATTGGTCGACTAACTCCCCAATCTTCCCTACTTGCCGGATGTGATTATTAAAAAACCGTGCTGATCACATACCGGTCCGATTCATTTCATGAATCATAATTGCTCTTGGATCATCGGATCATGAAGCATTGTTGTTAACGAGTAGCACCAGACCAGGAGACCGGTAAGTGGAGGATATGGAGGGCAATGGCAATGGCAATGACGGCAATCTCGGGCATCGTTGGTATACCAGGTGATCGCAATACCCGACAACGGTTATGCATTCAGTTCAGTTGACCGATTTGTTGGTGACCGATAACACCTCAATATCACCTTCCGATAATAATTATTGAGTTTTCGTGTTTTGTGGCTGTTTTGATCATGATGGGACATGGACAAACTATAATACAGTATACCGTAAGGGATAATATATTATGCAAGTGAATTTATCATATCACAGTGACTATGTCAATTAATATGGTTGAGGATATTTCGGAATTGCAACAACGTGAACTGGACTATAGAGGATAATCACAGGTACCTACAATACTGAATGCCATTATACAGGGTGTTTGATAATGCGACCGGGGGGGAAAATTCGATAGGCCAAATAATCCCATAGTCTTCTATTCACGGTTTTTTTTATCGCTTGGAGCGCACGAAAGGGAATCCCTATAATGTTCAAAGAACATCGTGCGTTCCTAGGGAGGATAGGGATAGGAGGTAGGTATTGGAATTTTTTTGAACTTCTGGAGATTATATGTTGTTGGGAATACTTCCTCAGGCAATGAATTCCAGAGCCTAGCCGTTCTATGGATAAAGGAGTTTTGATAAAGTGCTGTTCGACATCTTTCGAGGTTGACAACGAAAGGATGTGCTGACTGGGCTTGTCTAGTTCGTCTGACTGGTCTTGTTAGTGAAGGGATGATAGCAGAGATTTCTGAAGTACATTTCCCGCGGAAGTATCGACAGAAAAGTGAAAGGTCGCCGACCTTTTTACGGTGTTCCAATGATGTCAAAGAGTGAGTGAGTGTGGCGTCACCCACCAGGCGAATGGCTCTTCTCTGGATGGAATCTAAGAGCATCAGCGTATGTTTTGGTGCTGAACCCCATATGTGGGAACAGTATTCTAGAACAGGCCGTATCTGCGCTTTGTAGATCATGAGAAGCTGTTGAGGTGTAAAGTAGCTTTTCGCACGGAAGAACCCTTATTAGACAAACTTGGCAGGATATTTATTTGTAGTACCTTGTAGTACCAACCTGATTGATATGTAATGTGCTCCACTGTATTTTTCATTCGATTAAACGATTGACGATACAACTCAGTTGTTTTATGATCTTTTTTTAACTCGAGAAAAGAAATGGGTCCCTGAATTGAATCCAAATTCTGTATGTCCACGCTTTCGAGACATCCATTGATATATTACTTGATATCCATTATCGGGATATTTCAAGATTTTGTGTCTGATGATGGCCTGTGGCCGAAACTTGTTACACTACTTATATTGAACATCTTTCGTGGTCGACAGACTTTGGGACTTCAATTGTTCTTTCTTATAAAAATTAAGTGGACCACATTGAGAAATATGGATGGTTTCCCTGATTTGCTATTTCAAGAAATTGTCCGTCGCTGATCACACTGGTTTTTGGCAAAAACACTAAAACGTACAAGTCTATAAGAACTTTCCTCTTTTTGTAAAATTTATATCGATTCTCAAATCTTACCGATTAAAATCTGAAATACCTTGTACAATATTGACGCGGAATCACAATCACTGATCTATTGAGTTCATTATACCGTGTTTTTTCAAACTATGCTGATAAAATCATCCGCAATAAGTCTATCTCGGCAACTGTTTGTAAAATTGTGTATACGGTAATTATGAACCATGTATAACATGATATTTCGAAGAAATTTTGCATCTACATGAACTTCATTTCAAGTGGGTCATCAAGAATATTATATTATACATTTGATAAAGGATTACCACTACGGATATAGCGATACCAAGTTCCATGTGGAAATACTTGGAGCTGTTGAAAAGATATGGAGGGAAACAAATTAAAAAGTACAAAGAGTGCTTAATTTTTTTATAAGGTGATTTTGTTTCAGTTCCTTTCACTCCCGGAATACTAATGATAGGCATGTATTGTTTCTGAGATTATACGGCACTTGAAGATCAATTAGAGATGAGAAACACCATATAGGAAAGACGTAAAATGAAAAATGTAGAGAAAAACCATCAACACATCTTGTTTTTCTGAAATCTGACGATGGGTTTTCGAGTTATATGGTTTTTTCTCATCTACTTCCGATCAACTCTGTATAGTCGAGTTATGAAACGATGAGTAGGAGTATTAGTATCTAATAGTATCAGTTCTAAATGCGCACACCGCCAAATCAATAAAAGTTAAAGCAAGGCAAATACAGAGCCGTTATATAATAAACGATAATGCAAATATGCTCTAGCATTACTCTGTCCTTGGTATCATAATCTTTATCACATACATGACACTCCTGGATATCCCACCTAAACTAACTTTACTATCCAAAATTATATCCAGATGATAATATTATTATTATTATCATTATCATTATGAAAATGATGTTTTCTCAAGAAAGCATGTTCAATATTGATTCATGTGATATTGATGCATTCACTCCAGGACATATTTGTCGATGTAACGGCTGATGATGGATGCATAAAAATCCGAAACATGTTCCTGGTTCTTATTCCTGCAGGATTATTCGCATCAATCAATAGTACTCCATTCAACTTCGTACGATGGACTTCTAGAAAGGATTATTCATTTAATTTCTAGTTTCGATTTTTTCGAAAATGCGTCCTGGCAACGGTGACCACTCTGTAGAGGTCGATCACGTGGACAACGGCCTCAAGAACAGAAGGGTCGATGCATCCGTCCAAACTACGCATCTCGTCCCTTATAGGTTAAGGTTCCTGCCTCCTACTAGCTGCGACGTCAAGCTGGGCCCTTCCGAGCCGAGCTGCGCTTTGCGGATCAGCTGCTGCTGCAGGGTGCTGAGCCAGTGGCTGCTCTCTCAAATCGGATTGAGCTTGGTGGTGGTGGTGTGGGCTCTGCTCGGAGCTCTTGCGTTTTTCAATACTGAAGGTGAGTGGTAAGAATAATACATTGTTCATCTTGAGTGATACACAATAGATCATCATCGATTTTTATAGATTATTATAGGATCTCATAGAATCCCATGGAGTCTCATTTATCCTCATAGATTCTCATAGATTCTCATAGATTCTCATAGATTTTCATAGATTCTTATAGATTCTCATAGTTTCTCATACTTCCTCATAGATTCTCATAGATTCTCATATATTTTTATAGATTCTCATAGACTCATAGATTCGATTCTCATAGATTCTCAGAGATTTTCATGAATTTTCATAGATTCTCATATTTCCATTGATGCTCAAAGATTCTCATTGTTGCTTATAGATTCTCATAGATGCTCAGAAATTCTCTTGGAATTATATACGGGGTGTTCCTTAAAGACATGCTAATATTTGAGGGGGTGAATCTCTGACTCATTTTAAGAAGAAAACTTCATATGAACGTATGTCCTAAAAGTCTTAACTTCTGAGATGATGAAGGGTGATGAAGTTTTGAAATTGAAATTTTGAATTAATATTTTGTATCATCTGATCTGTGATCCGAAAGCAAACTAAAAATGCGCTGCAGATGTTTTTTCGTCTTATCAAAGTCAGACCATCATTTTAGTGCATTCTAAGAGCTGAAAAATCTGATAATTATAGATAGATACATAGACGATGAATTCCAAATATTTTCACTATTCAGAATTCATTCTTGATGCTTTTACTGGTAGTGAAAACTTGATAATGATATACAGTGTGTAGAAAGTAAGACATTTTTGATTTGGATATTATTTATTTTAGTTTAGAGCCATCCTTGCTGAAAGAAAAATTTTAACATAATTTCTGTATGAAATATCCACTATGCCTTGAAAATTCTGAAAAATATACATATTTATGATGTGAACGTCCCTTTTGTAGCAAAAGTTGTCAAAATGTCATCTAAGCAAAATACCTGGTTTCAAAATTCAGACTACAGATTTTGGAGCCCTATGAAAATTTCGAATCTACTTTTCAACGTATGAGTTACTAATAATATTTGATGAAATCATAATAAAATATTCATAGGTGGCCGAGAGAATCTATCATGGAAACAAATATTGCACACATGATACTGAAGAATCATACTTGGATACTGAGATTTTCAAATCAGGAATTTTACTTTCATTGTTCAGACAAGAATAATCATAATTTTTTTTCTGTGACGGGAAAAAAGTTTGGCATTTCATCTCTGTTGTCAGGTTATAAAATGTCACTTTTCATAAATTACTTTTTTCCTGTGGGAAAAAAGTGAGTACTCCTTTCCCGGATATATGTCACATATATATACTCTATTAATGGCTTTTGTTGTGCTATAGTTCCGAAAAATAAGTCAATAATACCGTCTCCGAGAAAGAACTGCAAGTCCTTTTATCTTCCATTCGACTTCGCGGTTTCGTATATTACTAAACAACCACTGAATTCGCAATTTTTGAAAATCAAATCACAGAATTGAACTGACAGAAGTGACATCAGATATTTGATTACTTCAAAAGAATGATAAAGATGTCTATAAAACGCAGGTGTCCCTACTGTTAAAAACTTGAAAATTCACGTCGATAATTTTCAGATTTCGGAATAATGTAATAACTTCCCAATATTGATTCGTCCTTCCTCCTGTCACAGAAAAAAATAGTGTATTATACACGGGAAAAATATTAGATTTTGGCTCACGGTTTTTTGTCTCCCTCCGCTACGCGTCGGGAGACAACACAACCTGGAGCTAAAATCTACTACTTTTTTCCCTTGTATAATAAATAACTATTTCAATACATGACTATGAGCCAGGAGCCTGTATGGCACGGTCCCCTTTGCTCTGCCCATGGCTCTCATGCATTATACTGTAATATTACCTCATTGGTACTCATGATTCCAATTATTCACTATTAGATTATGTTCAGAATCGATAATCTCTATATTTGGAACTGATTACTGAGACCGCATTAATCTTTTCGAAATAAATCATATTTGTGGAAGATTGCCATTGATATTCAGTTATATAATAAGTATTCACTGAATACATATACTCAACACGATTATATCATATAAATTACCTTATCTGTCTGTTCAACAATAAAAGCATATTTGTGTAATTTTTATTCATAGGAATCGTGGATTAATTTCAATCAAATCAAAACAGTGTCATTTAGGAAAACTACAACTCACGCACTGTCACTTGAAATGAAACCTGCATTGCGGTGCTTCATGCCACGAAAATAGTCGAGTAAGTGCATTTATATAACAACATTGGATGTATAGGTACACGTAATGACATCAATTAATTCGTTCGCGTGATGACGAAACGTAAACGTTAGTTCTGAGTCATCTTCAACAAGAAATGTCCAATTTGAGAAAAGCAGGTCCTGAAGAAAACTAGCACGTTGGATTAAACCAGCCTTTAGAAGTAGTTTTGTCTATTTTTTAGATTTTTCAATTTGCAGCGAACAGAGAGACAGGCGTACAAGCTCTAATGAAAACGTCATAAAATCACGGCCTGGTTTCTCTGACCAGATCGGCCCGAAATATTTCGGCGAATTTCAGCGTATACAGAACGTGGATATTCGCCAGATTCAGTTCGTTCAGAAGTTTCGTCTATGTGTGGTTTGTCTGAAGAAAATTTTCGTAAATTTTCGTTCCGATATATTTCAGTCTTCTCGTAGGGTGTTTGCGGCCAGGTTAAAATAAAAAATGTTTTTTTTTATTGCTATGATTTCAGAAGAAGAACATGATGACGATGATGAGTATGCGTTATTAGGAGTATGTACTGAAAATAATAAAGTTTTGAACATGTTTGAGGAAAGGGACAAAGGAGATGTTTATGAATTGTTAGTGTTGAAGCATCTTTCGGATAATGATAAAAAATTCAAAGAATTTTTCCGTTTAACTCCATCACTATTCCATGATCTACTGAATCATATAAAGGATGAAATCAGTTCGCTACCTACAAATAAGCATCCGATTCCTATTTCTCCCAAGGAAAAGTTATGTGTCACATTGAGGTGAGTATATGCATAGTTTTCATGTCAAAAATAGTGAAATCTGAAAAGTAATATTTCATTTTTGTATACACTACACTATTTCGGCGGTCTGTGCCGTTTTGAAATCGTTCAAATCAAACACTGGTTGATTCCGACGAACTGCTATCCGTTCATTTTCCCGAAATTTCGCTCTGATCTTTCATACAAACCGCCACTACGTACTACCAAAGGTACTACAAATACGCTTGGTTTCACCGAAAACGCCAACGAACTTTCAAAATGTCAATTGAACTCAGGGTGTCCCTGACAAGATTTAACCAATGTTGCTATAAAATTTCATTCAAGCAAACGGTTAGTTACTATGCGATCCTAAACCTTGTGATCCTAATTCTCATTGATTTTCATAGATTCCCATATATTTCTTTATATTGTCATGTATTCCCATAGATTTTCATAGACTCTCATGATTTTCTATAGATTCTCATAGATTCTTATATATTCCCATGAATTCTCATAGATTCTCATTGATTCTTCTAGATTCTTATAGATTTTTATGTAGAGATTATCCTCGAAATTCATAAATTTGTATAGATTTTCAAAGATTTTGCATACAAACCCTAATGATAACGGTCACTGAATCACATTTTTGTTTTCCCAGGTCCCAGGGAGCTCGAGCAGTCCCAAAAACTATCCAAGATCCAGAAAGAGCTTTCAGTCGAGCTGACTGAGCAATTGCAGCAAATCGAGGACCGACAGGAGGCTTGGCAGCTGGTCATCCACAGGTGTTTCGAGAGGCACGAGAAGCTATTCCTGGAGGCAGTGGGGGCGGGATTCGGAGAGGGAGGCGGCGGCACGATCTGGACCTACCCTGGGTGCGTGCTGTTCGCCGTTTCCCTGCTCACTACCCTGGGTGAGTCGAATCATTGCAGAATTAATCAGTTGCCCACTAAGCAAAGTAATATCTCAACAATATCGCAGCAGTATTTCAATGTTATGTGTAGTGTTACATCAGATATTGTCGCTACCTTAATGCAAGGTTGCAGCAACGTCAACGTCTGTTGCTATGCTTGACACTTCGTCGCCTTCTCCTTGGCTTTTGCCTTCACCAAAAATGGCCATTTTAAGATAAAACTCCTCTGAGCGAATTATTTGCTTATCTTTTCCCTAGTTTGTGCCTATGTTGAATTTAATGATTGTTGGGTTCTTTAGGATGTTCATTCGGTTCAAAAAAAGTTGTAATATTTCTTTACCGGATTGAATTTTTGGCCAAATGACCCTGCTTCTCAACTTTTCAATTTTATTAATTATGTGATCTCCACGTGGCCTTTTATAGGTATGTTTTCTCCTCAATATATTATATTCCTTGTAAACCAATATCTTTACAGGTACTGTATATTGTGTCTGAAGATGGCTTTTCGAGCCGAAACTAGCCACAAAAATTTAAAAAATTTGTAATTGAACTTTGTGGTCGACCGACTAAGAGTTTTGTTTTTTTCTTTGAAATGAATAATGAATAACGCCAGCCACTTTATGAACACTTCCTGCAACATTGCAGATTTCTTTGTTGAGGAAATGAAACTAATCTTCCATTGTATTTCATGTTTTGAACATTCGTCAAAATGAGCTTTTGCTTTTAATTTCTGTTCAGGTTTCGGTGCCCCAGTCCCTCGAACACCCCTTGGGCGCAGCGCCACTGTCCTGTTCGCCGCCGTCGGCATCCCCCTCCACTTCCTGCTGGTGCTCAACGTGGGCCACCTGGGCGCCCTCAGGCTGCAGCAGCTCGCACAACGGGATCGCCACGCCTCCCAGGCGCCTAGGGTCGGCAAGCCGACGTGGCTCAAGTGCTTTCCGTTCGTTTCCATCGCTTTCTACTACGTTCTAGGTAAGTTCAACGATTTTTTCTTTATGTTCTGGTTCCCACGAAAAGGAATATCTTGTGATGTTCAGAGAACATCGTGAGAACCAAGGGAAATAAGGTAGGAATTGGTGTTCTTCTTGAATTTCTGTAGCTTTTATGCCTCGGGGAACATCTCTCTTGGCAATGTGTTCCAGAGCCTCGCTGTTCATTGGATGAACGAGTCTTTGGAAAGAGATGTTCTGTAGGTCTCCAAAGTGACCGCGAAGGGATGTGAAGCTTCAACTCGACGGGTTAATCTCGCGGGGACTGCAAAGGGAGGAACAATTATTGTTGATATTTCAGAAGAGCATCGTCCATGAAAATATCTATGAAATAGAGCCAGATCGCCAACTTTTCTACGGTGTTCCAGAGAAGTGAGTGAGTTTGTGAGCGAGGCATCACCCACGAGACGAATTGCCCTTTTTTGGACAGAATCAAAAAGTTTCAAAGTATCTTTGGGTGCTGCACTCCAAATATGGGAACAGTATTCCAGGGCAGGTCGGATCTGTGCCATATAGATCATAAGCAGCTGACTGGAAATGAAATAGCTCTTGGCTCGAAACAGAAGAAGTTTTTCGGCTGCACTTTCAGCAATTGATCTCACGTGATTCTCCCAAGAAAGGTTATTGCTAATAGTGATACCAAGCATCGAAATGGATGTCGTCAAAGGTATGGAGCCCTGGAAGAGAAGGTGGTATGGAGGGTGCTATCATCCGCGAAGCTGTGTACTGGACATGAAGTTGCTTCCAAAAAATCGTTGATATGGAGTAGGAATACTGTCGGTGCTAGAATTGATCCTTGCGGAACATCAGCATTTATGATAAGAGATTCAGATGATACTCCGTCGACCACTACATGGAGCGACCTGTTTGAGAGAAAACTAGCTAGCAGAGAACATAGCTGGGGAGGCAAGCCATAAGATGGTAGCTTGGCGAGGAGTCCGTGGTGCCAGACTCGATCGAATGCCTTGGAGATATCGAGTGCCATGGCTAAGGTTTCCCCAAATTTTTCAATAGATTGCTGCCATATATGTGAGACGTGAGCGAGCAGGTCATCAGTTGATCTCTGATGACGGAAGCCATATTGCCTATCGTTGATAATACCTGAATGATCCTAGTATTTCATGAGCTCGATGTTGATACCTTTCTCCATGATCTTTGAAACAACAGAAAGCAATGCGATCGGTCTGTAGTTGCTAGGTAGGGTCTTTTTGCCTTTTTCGGGAACTAGTTGTACTATTGAAATTTTCCAGTTGGACGGGAATATCCCCAATTTGTAAGAGTAGTTGAACAACTTGCAGAGAACAGGTGTTAGTTCGGGAGCACATCTCTTGAGAACAATCGGAGCCATAAGCTTTGTTGGTGTTGAGACCCAATAAAATCTTCTTTATAGTACGTTGGCGAAAGGTGATCTCGGGCATATGACAGTCAATTGGCGTTATGTTTGGAGGTTGTTCTCCCGATTAATCCAGATTGAAATTTCCAACAAATAGATGCGCAAAAATGTTGGCTTCTTCCTGGGCAGTTGTGGCTGGTGTTCCATCTTCCTTGGTTAGAAGAGGAAACGAGCTGGAAGTGAAATTTCTTCCTACAGCTTTGGCGAAGGACCAAAATGAACGGGATCCGTTACGACATTCAACAAGTTTTGATCTCATTTTGGCATTATGAGCGTCCTTTGATGATCGAATTGTCTCATTGCATATGCCTCTAGCCTCGACATATTCTGCTCTAGTCTCAGGGCCTGGATTTTTCTGCCATCGATGGAATGCTGCCTGTTTGGAAGCGACAGCTCTAGAGCAGTTTCTACTGAACCAGGCCTTATCGGAAGATGTTCTCCTTGCAGTGTTCGGTATGAAATAATCATGTTGCATCCCCAACATGATTATTTCAGAAATTGTCTGAGCACATTTTTTTTATCGCTTGGAGCGCACGAAAGGGAATCCCTATAATGTTCAAAGAACATCGTGCGTTCCTAGGGAGGATAGGGACAGGAGGTAGGTATCGGAATTTTTTTTGAACTTTTGGAGATTATATGTTGTTGGGAATACTTCCACAGGCAATGAATTCCAGAGCCTAGCCGTTCTATGGATGAAGGAGTCTTGATAAAGTGCTGTTCGACATCTTTCGAGGTTGACAACGAAAGGATGTGCTGACTGGGCTCGTCTAGCTCGTCTGATTGGTATTGCTAGTGAAGGGATGATAGCAGAGATTTCCGAAGAACATTTCCCGTGGAAGTATCGATAGAAAAGTGAAAGGTCGCCGACCTTTCTACGGTGTTCCAATGATGTCAAAGAGTGAGTGAGTGTGGCGTCACCCACCAGGCGAATGGCTCTTCTCTGGATGGAATCTAAGAGCATCAGCGTATGTTTTGGTGCTGAACCCCATATGTGGGAACAGTATTTTAGAACAGGACGTATCTGCGCTTTGTAGATCATGAGAAGCTGTTGAGGTTGGATCTGCTGAGGAGAAACAAACTCTCTTCCATGGAAACGCTGAAAGAAACATACGAAGTAATGCCACATGAGACTCCACTTTGAGATATTATGGTCTTCTACCATAGATCAGAATGAAATCGGTTTGAAATTCGTTGTTTTTTGTTTCAGGAGTAGTGATATTCGGCGTCTTACGTAACAGGCCGCCGGTGGAAAGCTTGATGTTCCCGCTGGATTTCACGGCGGCAGGTGGCGTGGCGAACGTTCAAGGCCAGACCAGGGTGTTCTATGCGCTCTATCTAGAGGCGGCCGTGACGCTGGCCGCCATTGTTGTCTCCCTGTTGCAGGCCTCGGCCAGCAGGGGCATCGTGGATGTGGGGTTGAGGATGGGGCTGTTGACGAATACTTGAAGGAGGGCGAGAGCTGCCCATATAGAACGAGTACGTCTTCAAAACGTACTGTGAACGTCCAGCCAAGACGTTTCGTAGGTACTGGGGACGTCCAGATTAGGACCGTCCATTCAGGTCCATGAATACCTGAATCAACGTAGATCCGCTCTTTTCTCAGATAATGGAAAGAGAGATCTCTTCAGACTAAACAGAATATTTTGAATGAAAAATGCAAATAATGCGCTCCTACCGGGGTTGGATCCCGCGACCTCTAGATTACCGGGCGGATGCTCTACCTTTATTACTCTGAAGAAGACGTATAATACTTTCATACAATTAGATGATCACGCAGTGTCGGATTAGCCCGTTACCACCGATAAAACAAGGCCTGCATGCTCCGTGGGTGACGTCACTTAGTCAGGCCTAACCAGCGGCTTATAAGGCGACCGCGTATTTCGATTTTAGTTTTAGATCATTATTGAGCCGATTTTGCTTTTTTTTCGAAGGGCTTCCGGTTGAAAGAGGATGCCAGCCGTCAACTGAGCCCTTCTTCGCATCCCATTCGATTTTATTATGGAAAAACGAAGTTTCGAAGCAAAAACCAGAATAAAACACAAATACCCACCTACAGCAACCCATTCGAATTAAATATATTGGCAAAAATTGTAGTGATTCAATCTCATTAGAGGTAAACTTCACACCTACTTATACAGGGCCCGCAGAACATAAACTTATCATGAGATTGATCGAAAGAAAATTGGGGAAAATGTATTTTAGTTTGATAGACATGCCGTTTGTTATACCTAATTACCTATATTTATCTTGGAGAATTCCTATTACCTGAAAAATTAGCCAGTGAGTGTTTTCAATTTCCTGTTGTTGGATTTTTTATCCAATTGGTCGTTAGACTTGAAACAGTAATTTTTAAGTAGAGTGTTTGTAGTACATGTTAATATAATAGTTGCAATTTGATCATTGGAATGAATTCTGCATTCATTGCCACGAGGCAAATGACCGTTTTCAGAAAGAAATTTGAGAATGTAATGAGTCAGAAACCAAAGAGTCCAATGCATTCGAAATATGTTTCAAAACCCTCTTTTTCTGATTATCAAGACATTTTCCCGAATTATGTATCTCGTTTTCATCTATTTCAATTAGTAATTCCTTGATTTGATTGATATTATTAGAGATAAAAGGTGTTTTCAGATTGGCTTTAAGAGATGTTTGTATCGCTAGGTCATACAAAAATGATTCCACATTCAAAACAAAATCAATCACAACCGAATATGTAATTACGGGCCCTGGAGAATGAGACAATTTGAATAAGGTGACTTTTTGCAAATCGATAATTTTGAACCACTTTTCAGGCAACTGAAAAGACTCTAATACAATTCTTGAAATTCTATGTAGCAAAATGATTTTTGGTTATTTTCGAATTCAGTTTTACTTTTGGTAAGTGCTTGTGCCAAATTTTTAGTCTCTAGTATCTCAAGTTTTTCATCACGACTTGTGCGTAATTTTACATCTTTCGATAAATAAGATGGACAGTTGGGAAATTGAGTGGGAATAACATCTCGTTTGAGCCTAGGAATTTTCAAATCTATTGTTACAGTTTTGCCAGTTTTTGAATCGGTTGCAGTAGATGAAGTAATAATATCATCTTTAGTGAAATGTAATTCACATACTTTACTGTACTTAGATGGAGTCGTAAAATCCTTGCGGTGAATTGCATTTACCCACTTTTTCGATAGTTCCTTGTCCAACGGGAAACTAAAAGCATGAACTTTTGGACCACCCACATAATTCCCCCGACAAAAGGGAACACAACACTTGTAAGGCATTGTTATTTCGCCTATCACAACACGAAATATTTCACAAAACAGTAATTTCTCCGCCAATTATTTCGATGAATAAACAACAAGAGAATTCGAGCCGTTACCACCGATAAAACACGCGATTTACCTACGCCACCGTTCTTAAACAAAAACAAACTGACGATCGATCGACGCGAATGCCTTGGAAGATGGCCTGAGTATGCGACGTCACGAGCTGTTTACGTCAGAGTCTGCTGGCCTTGTTTTATCGGTGGTAACGATTAGCCACGTAGCAAGAGTAGCAAATGCTACGGGCCCTGCGAATTGGGGGGCCTCGCGCTCCAACGCCTGTCCAGCCTTGTCTGGCCTGTCTTACTATGAAAAATTGCATCAGATCTGTACGACCGTGAAGAATACTATCAGCAATTAACATAGGGACGAATCAAGCGATGTTCAAAGTACGACACCTGGACAACGTTTTGAAGTTCAGGTATTTATTTCCCTTATCGATAACGTACTGTCTGCTTCAACTAAACGTTTGAAAGAATTTCATAAAATTACTAGTGTTTTTGGAATACTTCGACAGCGAAAGAGATTCTGGAAAAATCCTCAATAATGGTCAGTGCTCACACTGATGATTTGGAAACCAGCCTAGGCGACGAATTAGTGTAGATCGTTGAGCTGCTCAAAACCATGCAAAACGAATGTGGGTACTGTCATTCAGAGCACCAAACAGGAGCCTCAGAAACTACAATTTTATAAACTTTCATTGAATAATTCTTTAGATTCATGTTTCCCAAACATAATAATTGCCTTGCGAATTTACGTGTATCTCATGATCGCTATAGTAACGAACGTTTTTTTCAGTTTCAAAACGTATCAAAAATGAGTTAAGGAACATGATGGGCCAAGAATGTCTCAATCATCTCACTTTGATAAATATAGAGCATGATTTGCTTGAAGAAGGCGATATTGGAAGTGTTATCTCTAAATTTGCCCATAATAGGTATATCCATAGAAGTTTATTTGTGATAGTTTCGTTTTATTCCATTCAATACTCTGAACTTGATAACCTGAAGCAAACCAAGGGTCCCTTGATAGAATTTGCGACAGGCCACGCGCTGGCTTAATCCGGCACTGTGACCACGACATGGATTGCCTAATAGATGTTTTATGATTAGGTACTGCCAGTCAAAAATGAATTGTGAGAATTGTATTATGCTCAAGTTTCCTATATGAATAGATATCAGAGATAGACGGTAGAAATTATATGCAATGATTTCAATAATCATTATACAATGTATTCAATCCCGTCCACAAAAATTTGATAACGTTCAGAGTTGGACGTTCCCAGTACATCGGAATCGTTCGTACTCAGTACGTCTAGAAATGGACATTTTCAGTACGTCTTGAAAAGACGTTCAATACTAAATCGGACCTAAAATGGAAGTCCCCAGGACGTCGAGTAGATGAGCTCTGGTTGTAAATGAGTTGCTGTAGGAAGTGCTTGTCGAAGATTTTAAGTCAATTATGTTTTTGGGAAGTACCTGACGCACTAAGCTGAAGCTTCAATCAAAATTATGGTCTTATTATAGTATTTTGATGTGTAGATCGAACAAGTTGGATGTTTTGACTCTATAATCTCAAAAAACGCACAACTGAACATATTTTTTGGGTTGTGAAAATGTTTCGAAATAATTAACCTGATTACGAATAAAAGAGGTACTTAATCTCCTATTTGCAAAAGTGCCTGTGATATTTGAGAAAGATCCGAAGTATTTTTTTATGATAATCATTCCAGAAAAAATCGGATGAATTTATTGAAACAGAATGACTACCTACATGAAAACATTTCACGTCAGAATATTGAGGTATAAACTGTTTCCTATTTTATTCGACATTCGCAACATATCGACTAAATTAGGAGACAAGTCACACAACTTCACAATCTTTAGAGGTGAATCATTTTGCATATTTCTTTAGGTTATTATCAGGGTGAGTCATAACTATTGGGACAAGACTATAAGGGCGGATGTTTGGAACCAAAATATGGCGATAGATAGGACCAAATAAGCTTTGATAAAATATTGCTGTGGAGAAAGATACAGGGCGTTCTAATCGAAAAAATTTGATTCAGTGATAAGAAATCCCACCAGCAACAAATATCTGGCAGTCCAAAGCACACTCTTCATAAATGAAATTATGTTTGAAATCCCCTTCCGAGTATTTGAACAATATTTTATTGAGGCATATCCGGTCCTATCGTTATATATTTATGTCCAAACAATCCTCCCCTAGCCTTTGTCCCAATACTTAAGGCTCACCCTGTACCCTGAGTCATTTTCATTAAATCCAACTGAAGGGAAATATACTTGCTAAACTTGTAATGCCAGGAAACTAAAATATTTATTCTGTTTTGATCCATTCCCTAGATTTATGAGTAGGTTTCTAGAAGTTTATTATAATGTTTAACGAGCACGAAATAATATGCATTTCCCGCACAAGAATAAGAGTGGGATACATATTTCCTTGATCATTAATCTGTGATTATGATTGTAATATAAAAAACAAAACGCGATATATAATTATTGATTTTTCAATATTTATTGTTATTGTTTTAATACAGAATATATCAGATTATATACCAGAGAAACTAATGATGTTTATACGGTTGAATCTCAAAATTGAAGTGGGTACTTGATGGAAAAAAAAATTGACAGTTGATCTCATACATATACTAATGTATAATGAATATTTGAATTAGGATAACTGTTAAGAAGTTTTGAACTGAATTATTCCTAATATTATTTCCATCTTTACTACCGTGTGCATATGAGACATACTGTAAAGTGTGAATTATGACGAAAAAAAAACGAGATGAATTGTAGATATCAATCCTGAAATACTTTTTCTACGGGTATAACCCAAAATTGCTCGTTTCACTGTCTTCGATAAACCAATGAGGTACATTGTATGTCTTCAACCTATACATCTCGGCTACGAGCCGAAGAAATCAAAAATTTCGCTTGCTGTTACAGTCGTAGAAAAAGAATAGTGTATAACTTGCACGGAATGCTGATTTCCCACTCGAATGATCTGCAGCTTTTGCCTACGGCTCATGCTTCTGGTGGGAAATGACATCATTTCGTGCTCGTTAAACAATATACAATTCTCACTGCTGATATAAAGTATCTTGATCGATTTTTCGAAAAAAATCGAAAATATAATTTATTGTCAATTGTTATTTATTCATATATTTATTTCACGAATATATATATACAAAAATTTATAAGGTTTCAATAGTGCTACCATCTGGCTATATGTTTGGAATTTCTCAAGAAAAACTCAATTTATTTCAGTGTTATAGAGCATTTGGAAAATCAGAGCTTAGAGAAGTTGAATAATATGTAACTCTTTTTTTTGTGTTCTGGTTCCCATGAATAGGGATATCCTGTAATGTTCAGAGAACATCGTGAGAACCAAGGGAAATGAGGTAGGAATTGGTGTTCTCCTCAAATCTCTGGAGGTTAAATATGCCTAATATAATAATCATATGAAAGCTAGAGATCTGGGCTTGCAGTCCTCACTATGGAATTTCTAGATATATCTCGAGGCGTCAGGATGGACTGAAAACGTGTATACAGGTTGTTATCGATGTTCTGAACAATAATCTGAAGCTCTATTCCATGTATCTACATTGATATTAGAGATATTCGCATTCAAATATGAAAAACAATGCCTGGAAGATCGCTGAAATGATGATAACGGATTTCATTTTGTGTGCAAAATACACGTATTTTAAGCTAGAGAGCTGTGCTTTAACTTCGTACTAGGGCATTCCTTAAGGACCCTGTATACCAAATTTGAAGGCCCTACGACAAAGTTGATTTTGGGATCTGAAAAAGAAACAAGAATTTCGTGACATCAGAAAAAGGACGGAAAATATCTATATAGGGTGTAGCAAAATAGCCTGAAAGATCGCAGAAAAATTGATAAAGAATTGCTTCTTGTGTGTCTGAATCAACTCAGTTTCACTAAAACTTTAGCAGTTTCTATGATATCGTGCTTCAAAAAATGTTCAAAGCAAAATGGCGTCAAAAATTGCTACTTTTTTCATACTGAATTTAGAGGATGTGCTTTTACTTCCCACTAGGGCATTGCTCAAGGCACGCCTAGTATACCAAATTTGAAGCCTTGTGACAAAGTTGATCTTTGAGTATAAATAAAAGAAGATCGATCCCTTGGAACCCTTTTCATGTCTCCAAACGTCAGAATGACCTGTATGACCTATAGCGTTTTATAAGAAAATAAAACTCCTTTGTCTTGGCATTTTATTATTTTTTTCGAAAAAACAAATAAATACAAAACTTTATAAAAAAAATGTACAACAAAAATAAAGCACGACGTCAATGAGTGAAGTAGATAAAAACCCTATAATAAGCTGCTGATTTGAATATGATTTTCAGAATGGACATTCACAAAATATTGTGCTGGCAGTAGGGAAAAAACAAGAAAATTTAGTATCGTCCATCATGATAACCATCTCATCGATATTCACCAATAATTCAATTCAATATATACATTTTAGCAATAGCTCAAAACGAGATTCTGAAGATTCGTTACAAAAATATGTAAAGGTTTTACATTTAAGGTAATGTTAAAAGTTAAAGGTATCTAGTATCTAAAGTGCCCTTTCTTGGATTTGCTGTTGTGATATACTCTGAGGGGGGTGTAAGATCCATTTCCGTTCACAGCTGTAACAAAATAATAATTATTAATTGATAAATCGAATCGAAACAGAATTTCGTGGTATCTTCAATACTATTTGAATAAAAAAATGGGATTACCACAAAATTTTGGAGTTGTCATTTCGAAATTCCAATTTTTTCCTCGAAAATCGAACATGATATGTGATCTCCAACCTTGAAAACCCCCATATAATATATACATTTTCAGGCGAATAGGACAAGAAATGTTGACACTAAATTTATAATCAATAACCTCACATAGACATTTCTATGTGAACAAGACTAGAACTGTTGAAATTGTCCGACATATTGAGGAAACTGTCTGTAATTTGTAGATTTGCAATTCTAAAACCCTCAAAAAACCAACAGATGTACATTTTCAGGCGATTTCGACAAGAAATGTTGAAATCATCGGCCATATTGATGATGCCTCTCAAATTTTAATACCAAATTTGTAATCCCAGGCTTGGAAACTCTTACATGCAAATGTTCATGTTCAAGGAACCATTTCAAATTTCCAAATTTCAACTCAAAATTAATGTTTTTCGACCCTGAAAACCACTCAAGAGTATGTACATCTTCAGACGAATTTTTCAAGTAACGTTTTTGGAGATCCTGAAAACATCATTCCACTTTTTCTCCCTGGCAAGTTGGCGTATTCAAATTCGAAATCTGACGTTTCGCCTACTAAAAACCATCATCCATCTGTCTCATTGAGTAGTTATTCAATACTTAATATTAGAGTAAAAAAATCACGAATCACCTTGGTAACTGAACTTTGACAACAGGAACCTAATTGTAAAAATAACATTCATAACAAATGTTCAAAATTGATTGTCTTTATTACCCCAAGAAACATTTCTGTTTATGATAGGGATACATAAATACATATAAAAAAATAATAATAAAGGGTTAACTATAATGAATTCCATTATTTCGTAAACAAAGATATCCTCTTCTCTTTAGACATTTCTGGAGGTTATACTATTGAATGCTTAAATATCACTGTCCCTCAGTTCTTCTACGTATTCGAAATTATTCACGTAAACAGAGTTCTTAATGTATCCCCAAAGAAAAAAATCCAGCGGTGTCCGATCAGGCGATCGCACTGGCCAAGGGACTGTAGAATAAGTTTAGTTATCAAGGTAATTCGTGTAAGAATTCATCAACTTGGAACAATTTGAAGCACTGCATTGAATAATTTCTGAGATATTTTTTTTACTATTCAGTATTAAATTACTGTTCCATAAATGTTTAACACTGAATGCTCAGAAATAATTGAAACTGATGGTATGTTCTCTTTGGAATTTCGAAAAAACATTGAATATGGCTAAAACTTGGTCGAAACACATTCAAACAACTCTGAGTATAACATTGTTGAATCAGAATATGTGAACACATAATTAGGACCATATTTATAAAAAAAAGGTGATGATGGTTCTACGAATAAGAAACGTCGCATAGAGAAATCAATATACCACGATGAATTTCATCAAAAAATCTTGTTCAATATAAACCTTTTTCATATATGAATGATATGGACAAAAACACTGGTAGGAAAAACATTGTACCTAACTAATAACATTAATGGAACCAAAAAATAGATTATTTCGAAAATTATCGCAGGCCGTTGATATGACCCTCGTAATGCGCAACTTTTTTCCCATCTTCCCTATTTCATGCAACCTTATCTCACACTCATACTATACACAAAAAACAATAATAAAAATGTTTTCTTACTTTGGACGACTGCCGGCGCCGGATCAGGGGGCAGATGCATACCCGGCGCGCACTTCGGCTTCAAGTAGAAGTGGTATATGAGGAAATAGACGACGGCTATCACTGTCGCGGCAATGGCGAACGCCCTGTGCACCTCCTGGAAGTTGCGCTCGGAGTCGTACTCCGAGGAGTAGGCCAGACCACCGAGAGCGGCACCTATAGAGCGACCTTGAAGAAGAAAAATCAAGTTCTAGATGCGGTGATTTTGTCCTCAGATAACCCTTTCGGGTGCCGTGTCCACTACAGTGGACACGATTTTCAATGCAACACATAATGCGCATTGTGAATTATTTCGATACGAGATCTATTTGTCCATTCAGATGGACCAATGGGCTTATATCACAAGAAACTTTTATTGCACAATTCGATAGAACTCACCCAAACTATCTCACCACCGCAAACCGTTTCTTGCTGTGAGCTCCCTACGTTTTAAAAAAAATTATTGAAATGCCCGATTTCTTGGACCTCTGAAAACAAGGCGATGATGTGACGTCAAGACCCTAATACTGATACAAGACTATTCCAGACAGAGATGAATGATACATGATTTCTGTCAGAGTGAATTAGCGCGAGATCACAGTTGAAAGAATTAATATGTCAGTTGCCTCAGTCTCCGTCGGGCGTTTGGTATTTTCTTTTAACTATGACGAGATGAGGTTTCTACGTCATAAGAGGGGCCGTTTTCAGAAGATACTATTATTTATGTCCAAAAATGAAACATTCCAGTTAATTTTGCGATCGAATTATGTCGTCAATCATCATTTATGTATAAAAGGATCATTATAAACATGGTTTGAGTTAAAAGTTCTACTGAGGTGTACACGCCCATTGTAAACGTATTAGCACCTCTGGCGACATCTCTGAACATTTCATTGAAATTCTACTCGCCATTGTCGTGACATCAGTCTTGTTGTTGGTAATGGTAGCAAAACACGTGCTTTCATATAAGTGTCAAACTGTGTGAAAAACAACAAATATCGAATGATTCATCAACAAGTAGGTCAGTGAATTGGTTATTTCATGATTTGAAGTACAGTCTGTGTAATATTTCTTTGCGTGTGACTGAAATTAGCATAGACCTACGCGCAACTTCCTATCCTCTTCAGACTTGCATATACTATACAGTGTGTCCCACTTACCATGCTCACCATGGGTATCTTTCTAGCGGTGAGAGATACGAGGTCGGCTAAATGACACCAAATGTGGAGTTTGTCAAGGCCAACTATAATGTGAAAAAATATTTTGATAAAATCTATTCGTTTTTGTTTTATTCGCAAAAAACAGATTTTGATCATTTTCATGTCTCCTCCGTAACTTCTTTATTTATGAAAATATTCAAATAGGAATTTCACATTCTCATGGCAGTTTTTCGAAGTGATTTCGAAAAAAATATGAAATTCATCTACTCTTCTAGAATTTGAGATATCAGTACCAACTTTAGTTCTTCGAATGTAGGTCATAGCTCACTATAACCTAGTTACAAATAACTTTTTTTTCTCTTACAGATGATATGTTGCAGTAATAGTTTTGTGTTGATAACAACGGAGTTATCGTCATTTGAACAAAAACAAAAAATTATTTGGAAGCCGCCATTTTGAATTTATGAATTTTAACAGAAAAACCATGACCCCTGACCTCAAAAAACCCAACTTACCAATTTTGAATGGAATCGGACCAAATCTTGTCCGCCATCTTGGAGCAGCCATTTTTTTTATTTCAACAAAAATTCCATAATGTATTGTCACCGAAATTATGAATACCTGTCAAGTTTCAAGTTGATCAGAGTTATGGGATTTTTGTTGAAATTAAAAAAAATGGCTGCTCCAAGATGGCGGACAAGATTTGGTCCGATTCCATTCAAAATTGGTGAGTGGGGGTTTTTGAGGTCGGAGATCATGATTTTCTTGTTAAAATTTATAAATTCAAGATGGCGGCTTCCAAATAATTTTTTGTTTTTGTATAAATTACGATAACTCCGTTGTTATCAACACAAAACTATTACTGCGACATATCATCTGTAAGAGAAAAAAAAGTTATTTGTAACTAAGTCATAGTGAGCTATGACCTACATTTGAAAAACTAAAGTTGTTGCTAATATCTCAAATTCAAGAAGAGTTGGTATAAATTTCATATTCTTTTCGAAATCAGTCTGAAAAACTGCCACGAGAATGTGAAATTCCTATTTGAATATTTTCATAAATAAAGAAGTTACGGAGGAGACATGAAAATGATCAAAATCTGTTTTTTGCGTATAAAACAAAAACGAATAGATTTTATTAAAATATTTTTTCACATTATATTTGGCTATGACAAACTCCACATTTGGTGTCATTTAACCGACCTCGTATCTCTCACCGTTAAAAAGATATGGTAAGTGGGACACACTGAACTCAATGGGTTAAATGCTTGAATACAGAGAGATGTTCGTATGTCGAGACACATTCGAAAATTACCAGGAGTAGTGAATAAAAATTTTCTGAATATCATTATGTATTTCAACCCAATTTCTGAAACAGCACGGCACTGCTTCACTGGAACATATGACCTTGAATTGATTGAATTAGTTTTTTGAAGTTGTGACGTACGCGCAAAGAAATATTATACAGACTGTATAGAAATTACCTGGAATATCACATATCTTGTAGTAACAATCGATTTTTTCAACGTCCATTGAGATGGACAAATACTCCTCAGATGTTGAAGTATGTATGAAATTATATAATGATAACATGGGTGTCGTTGATAAACTAGACTTTTTATTGAGCATATATCGATCTCATTCAAGATCTAGAAAATGGCCATTATGAATGATTATACATGCCATCGATCTAGCCTAAGCCACGGTTACTTGGTTACTACGTTCATCACTATCAGTTCAGACATTCTTCAGAAATCAATGAAAAATCGTTTTTTTTAAGAAACTTCAAAACCCTGTGTCTGAGAATCGAAACATTTTCGGACATTATTATGTATAATTTTCTCACAAGAAATATGACCAAATTTCGTGCGATATTATAATGAAATACCCTGTTACCATATGGTAACGCGCGGTCTGAAAATCACATTTGCGTGTGACACCCAGTAAATCTTACCAAGGCAAAAGTGAGCAACGATTGGCAGTGCTTGACCACATGCTGTGAGTTTCCGTGGAACGAGATGTCTCAAGTATAGTACGGCAGTTATGTACATGATGTGTAAAGTGAAGACCTCCATCCATTCGCACAGGAGCAGATATGCGGCATTTTCGATGAACATCAAACCTACAAAAAGCATGAAAATGCTGAAATTCTAGAATTTCGTAACGAATCGACAATAAAATAATGAGCCATCTATCATTCAGCCAATGGGCGAACTAAAACATATACTCAACGATTAATCAAATTGATCTACTTGAATCTCAACTCAAAAGTTTCAACTCGAGCCTCAATCGTTATCAAATATCTCAACTATAATCAAATGTTTCGATCAAAATGTCCTGACTGTCGATGAATTTAACATTCGTCTCAGACAATAACTGATTCAAATTCGAGGCAATCTATTATTGAAAATTAAGATACGAGAAAAATCATCTGAGATTCGAATACAGTGGAGACTTGAGTTGAAAAATTCGAATGTGATAAAGAATCAAGTTGAAACTGATTTGAATCAAATAATGAGTTGACATTTGAATACGATCGAGACTTAAATTGAAACATTTGGAGAAAGTTGAGACTTTTGACCGTTAAAACTGAAATTGGAATTTGAATATTAGAGAAATTCGAGCCACAACTTTTGACTGGAGTTGATCGAAACCCCTAGTGTAGATATTTGGATACGATTGGGACTCCATCAGTTGACACTTTCGATCACAGTTCAAACTGAAGTTGACACATTTGAATACGATTGGGACAACACGAGTTGAGATTTTGATTACTTTTGAGACTAGAGTTGAGACATTTGAATAGGATTGAAACTTGAGTTGAAACGTTCGATTGAAGTCGAGGCATCAAAATATAATTGAGACAAGAGTAGAAACGTCGTTTGATTGAAGTTGAGGCTCTCGTTGAAACAATTGAAAAGTATAGAAACATAAGCTGACATTTTTTAAACTTGGGTTGATATACTTTTGATAACAGTTGAGTGTGGAGTTAAGACATCCGAATATTATTGCAACTCGAAAAAGGTTAAATTACTCTTGACACCAATGTTGAGACATTTGAATACTGTTGAGTTGAGACTTTGATTAATCTTCAAATATGTGAGATTTCAATATTTGTTTAATTATTCAGATTATTTGTTCAGTAGTTGACCAGTATTCCATAGTATTGCGTATAGTTATTTCTGTTTCTTACCCAGGTGATGACAAATGTAGTTGACGAAACAGAAGATGAGAATGTTATTGTGGCCGCAATAATCGACGATCCTTTCAGCGAAAATGAGAAATATCACGGCAGGAAGAGCTCCAATTGTTATTGTCAAACCAATAATGAGCGGTTCACCGTCTACAATTTTCACCACATGCCTGAAAACAATAAGAAATATTCGAGAAAAATTCGGATTTTCCAACTGTCAAGCATTTACCATGGTAAAAACGAGTCGATAGCGTTCCAGAAAACGCCCAGTAGAAATAACACCACTCCTAGGGCGGCTGTTTCGTAGCCGTAGTTTCTGACAGATGACATCGGCAGAGCTAAAAGTCCACATCTCGTATGCCACCACCATTCTGGAGGACTCAATGGCATCCTACTACAAATGCAAATAATTGTAAACACCCTGTATTGCAACGTTTCTTCTGAAACTGTACATAACAACATAAATAAAACTCAACAATTTTCGGGAATTTGAAATCGAATACTTATTTAACTCACCTGTCAAATATCAAGATGAGAACCGCAAGGGCCATCAAAACTGTGAAACAAATCATCGCATCCAGAAATCTTCCATTGGCACATCCACCAATAATAGGCGCAAAAATCCCAAAACCGAGAGCTGCTGCTGCAAACTGTTTTCCTACATCGCTTCGACCTAAAAAATTACTAAGTAAGTGAGAAATGACTACCTACCATTTGTGGATAAGACGATAAGTGAGTGAGTAATTAAATGAGAAAGTCAGATAGTCAGTTACTGAGTCTGCAAGTCATTATAAGTGGGTGAATCAGTGAGTTATAGATGAGTGAATGAATGGGTGAATGAATCAGTGGGTGGATCACTGAATAAGTCAGTTGGTGAGTATGTGTGAGTGAGCCAGTCGCGAGTAAGTTAGGAGGTGATTAGAGGGAAATGTAGATGAGGGAGGGCATGAACGAATGAGTATAATTTGGTGAGTAATGCGTGAATGAGTAGGTAAATCAGTTATTGGGTCAGCATATGAACGAATAAGTTGTCTTTGAATAAAAAAGGTGGGTGAGTGAGTCAGTCATTAATGAATGGGTGAGTTATTAGTAGAGGTAAGCAAACGAAAAGGTGAATGAATTGGTGGATCAGTGAGTAAGTCATTGGGTGAGTTTGTGAGTGAGATAGTGAGATAGTACGTTAGTCAGTAGGTGAGTAAGTGAGATTGTAGATGAGCGAGGGAACGAATAAATAAGTGAATCGTTCGGTGAGTAGAAGAGTGAGTGAATGAATGGGTGAACGAATCATTGGATGGATCACTGAATAAGTCATTGGGTGAGTTTGTGTGTGAGATAGTGAGATAGTACGTAAGTCAGTAGGTGAATTAGTGAAATTGTAGATGAGCGGGGAAACGAATAAATTAGTGCTATGAACTGTTCGGTGAGTAATAGAGATAATCAGAATGAGCCTTGAGTCGGTATGTGAATCATTGAATGAGTTGTGTGAGTGGTAGGTGACCGAGTGAATCTGTGAGTGATATAGTTAGTAAATGAATGGGTAAACGAATCATTGGATGGATCACTGAGTAAATCAGTAGCTGAATATGTGCGTGAGCCAGTATATACGAGTAAGTTATAGTAAGTAGGTGAATGAGTAAGTGAGAATGTATATAGATGAGTCAGGACATGAACGAATGAGTAAATCATTCGGTAAATAATTGAGTGAATCAGTAGGTGAACCAGTAGGTGAATGAGTGAATGAGTTAGGTGCACAAATAAATTGTCTGTGAGTGAAAAAGTGCGATGGTGAGTCAGAGAGTGAGAATAAAGAAGTGGATGAGGAAGTGGGCGAGCAAACGAAAAGGTGAGAGATTTAGTGGGGAGATATCACTGTATGAGTAGTTTTGTGAGCTATAGTACGCGAGTATGCTAGTAGGTGAGTAGTTAGATTGTAGATCAGAGTGGGCATGAATCAATGAATGAATCATTTAGTGAGTAATTGAAAGAATCGGTTAGTAGATGAACGAGTGAGTCAGTGAGTGAGAAAGTGTATGATGAGGTCAGTAGGTGAATGAGCTATCAGTGAATGAATCAAGTGAGCGAGTGATAAACATAGTGGAGGAGCGATCGATTGAAGTAATAAGTTAGTAGCGAGAGAGCAATGGAGGACGGAGATATGGAAGGGATATTGAAAGAGGAGATACCCATTTAACTCACCGGTAGACGTCTCTCTGGTGGCGATAACGACAGCGGCGCCTATGAGCACCGCGGCGGCCGCTGGGAAAATGTCTGCCACCGATCTGATGAACAGGTACAGCCAGAAGCTGATGTTGTCGTAGCCGCACTGAGACCTCCTCAGCAGGCTGTCCTTGTTGCTGTACGGCCGGTGAATTTCGCATAGCACCACCGGCTGACAGTCGTCGTCTTGGCCGTCATTGGTCAGATTTTTGACCACGTCTGGGTTCAGTCTACACTGGAAATCGTCAACTAAACAAAAAAGACAGACAACATTTCAAATAATGTTCAGAATGTGTTGTGGTACAGTCTAGTTTTTTCATTTTTGTAGAATATTTGAAGTAAATAGAAACGGCTGATGATGGACTCTTGATGAATCGAAACATGTACCTCACCGTATGAAAGGTGTCCGCTTCTGAAATTCGACCTTTTTTTTTTTGAGCCAACAAGGGGAAAGATTTATCTCACTTGCAATTAAAATAACATTGTTAAAATTTCATAGGTCTCTGAATTTCTTATGGGTTAGTACCCAGAAAATCCACATTATATATTCAGATTGAAGTCATAATAAAGAGATTCCGTGAATAAAGACTTATCCATAGATAAAACTTGATATAGTTGTTCTACTTTTGGGTGTATGATAAAGTGACATTCATCATACAGGGCGTGGAAAGAAATTCTGAATTCAGACTCTATCACGAATCTGCGATTAGAGGTCTATAAAAAATCACAAGTTTCCATTGTTCAAGTTTGAACCCCCTGATTGGCTATGAAAGTGTTGAAAAGGAATATTCTCAGATAAATAATATAAAGTAATACATTGAGAATTCGCATTCTCTATGTGATGAGGATATTTACTCTTTTTCAGTTGATTCAATAGAAAACAACTACTTTCCTTGCTATATGCCACGACGAACATTGAATTATATCCATTGAACACACGATAAAAGTTTGAAAATAAAATATGAAGAAAACTTCTGAAATTGAGAATTTGCATTCTCCTTCAGACAAAATATGTACATGCACACATCATTCTGAATATTCAACAGAAAACAACTACTTACCAAAAGAATATTTGCAAGTTTCCTCAGCCTCACTGCTGCTCTGGTCAGCATTCAATCCTATCCTGAAGGTTATGGGGTGCGAAAATTCCGTATAAACTTCGCACACCATCCCCCCACTACCGTTTCTGTAGCACATGTGGGGGTGGGGGACGAAGATTCCTGTTTCGTTGGTTGGGGGTAAAGTACCCTATAACACAGAGAATGAATGAGATAAGTACGAATAGTTGAGGATTGGGTCACAGAAAATAGGTACTGACTACCCTTATTGTTAATGGTCAATATAGCCTGAAACCGGTCTGCAGGTGAGAAGGTGTTACTTGGCATCAATTCAAGCAAACATTGTTTACAACAAATGGACTGAAAACTCACTATTTCTGGTTCAAGGATTGGACCATCCCCACTATCGTAATAGTCACTTTCGCTGTTGAATTCGTGAATTTCTTCATCTGGAGGAAGGGTGGTCATTTCTCCTGCATAGGAAGAAGTAGCGTTGCAGGAAAATATGCAGTTTTTCACTTGCACTGAACCTTTCTGAAAAATTAAGAATGAAAAAAACTATTATATATATGCTAGTAAAATTTTGTATAGTTAGGTAATACCACAAAATATCAATGAATACGGGGAATGTTAATATTGTTAACTATATATAAACCTAAGATACTGAATTTGACTCTATAATGTCTTATTCATTTCTGTTCCTCGTAATTTGTGTTGAAATTTTGAGGAAATTCAGATAATGTACTAACGTCTATAATTACTGTAACTACTAGAATGAAAATAAGATGACTCAATCGAAAATAATCCAGTCATGACATGTTAGTTTGAGATGGTTTCGGTCGTCGTCAGGAAGTTATAGGTGAAATGAACTAAAATTGTATACTCAAATATTTAGAAGAAATTTTGATCAACATTTTAAAAAATTGACAGTCCCTGTCGAAAGTATTCGAAGAATCATTTTATTTGGTTTCTTATTCTTCAAATTCTGACAATAAATAACGGTAGTTGGAAAAATTCTCAACAAAAAATCGTATTTGAAAACTAAAAAGCTACTCACATTTGAGCCCCAATTATAACAGGTTTTGTCAGCCCCACATCTATCTTGTAAGATGAATCCACCCCTTTCATCACACACGAAAGACACATTTGGTGGACTCCTTATCTGAAAAAATAAAAGATTTTAATTCAACAAATATGTCACAATTTCAATGTCGGGCTGCCTCCAACATCCGGTAATGGGCGAGTGGACTATTATTTTTCATTTTTGAATAAAATCATCACTTAATTACCTTTCAGTTCCATGTTTCTTATGATTTTTTCGGTCGATTTTAAGGTGCTAAAATCATCAATATTATCACGGTAATGTAAACATCTATACCTTTTCAACTTCAATTTCGGAATCGGTAACTTTTATTTCGGAAAAAGTAATCTCGATTTCAGAATTGGTTAGTTCGATTTCAGAAATGGTAAACTCAATTTCAGAATCGGTGAGATGAATTTCAGAAAAAGTCCATTCAATTTCAGAAATGGTAAGTTCGAGAAACGGGAAAACAAAATGCATCAAATCCAGTCCAGTTTTTCCTCCTGTTCACGATTCCTTTGATGAACTCTGTCAATTATTACATACAGTGTGTTATTTTCATATTTCGAATGAATGTAAATTGTTCCTGAAGCCGAACCTGGATTTTCACTTCGCCCGATAGGTGAATGAATTCAACGTCCCAAGTCTAAGCTCCATACCAAATTTTATAAAAATATACTGGGTAGGTCAATACTTATAGACGAATGAATAATTATTCGAAATCGATAAATCGCCCTGTATCTCCGTTATGAAGACTCTTAGACCTATCAAATATGGTATTTTCAGAACCACCTTGGTGACCCCTATGTACCATTGAAATATTTCCCTTTATCTGTGAAACACCCGTATAGTCTCAATGTGTTCTTAAGACAACTCACGTCAGACTTAGATAAATGAAACATGGTATAAAACAACTGAGCTATTGAGCTGTACTGAGAATCTTGGTCAATCTCAGTCAAAGTTGGTGAAAAGAATATTACTTATGTTGCTATTTAACTTACGATTGGCGGTATGACGATCAGCAACCAATAGAAAATCGTCGCGAGAACGAGACAAGAGGCTATCATCATGCGGAGGTAGCGTCCCGTTTTGCTTCTAGGGGTACCCCCGATACCGCTGGCCAGCCTGTCGGCCAAAGGGGCTGCCACCAAGGGCCCGAGAAGGGCTATCAGGGGGGAGATGATCGACACCAGGATGGATTCGTCCTTCGACAGGCCAGTGTCGTTCATGTGGAGAGGTAGGAATGGAAAGAGGCTTCCAATAGCTGAAATGACGTAAAATAGTAATTAACGTTAAGGAGTCCGAAAAATACTGTCTTTTTGGACGAGTAAACAAAATTCTAGGCCGAGCCGTAGGCGAGTCCTGGAAGTCTGCGAGTACAAAAAAACTGTTTTTCTGCAACCGACACAAAAGTCGTCCATTTTGATATCAAAATTAGTTCTTAAATTGACGTTTTTATTACTGACACAAAAATAGTTATGTTGCTAGGCAACATATTTAGTTCCTAGGAGCAAAAGTTGAATTTTAGTTCCTAGGAGCTAAAGTTCAACTTTAGCTCCTAGGAACTAAAAAGAACGTACTGGACGTCATCAAGAATAAACAACACTGTTACGGTTGGTTATTTGGGTTGAGACGCATACCTGATTTGTTTCCGATTTCAGCAGATTTGGCATTTTATACCCATGCCGGAGATATAAATACACCTTATTATAGTTTAGTATTGGAATTATAAACATCTCAGTTGAATATTTTTGTTTTGCTCAGGGAAGCCTTCAAGATTCAAATACTTGCTTGATCTGTATTTCATTCGTTATTCTCGGGATGGATAACTTGTTTTTGAATAATCACGGCAAGCAATAGTTTTTTTGTCTCAAACAACGATATTGTTTAGCTTCATTTGATTATCAAGTCAAACACAGTGTAGTATGGAATTGGAGAGGAATAAATAATCACTATCATCATTGTTGATATGCTCACTAACCTAACATTTTCCACGTCTTGTTCCTATAGCTGGCACTGGCGCGGTATTTGCCATTAGAGCACCTGGTCCATACACAAATATGTCACTCTGTGGTTGTATTTATATTGAAACTATAATTCGAACATCCTAGAAAACCTAACCTGCTGTTAATGCAGGTAGAATATTCTCACCACATGGATTATTTGTCAATATTTGTTGCATTGCATACATATGGCATGGCATTGGTGGTTACTTCACATGTTTATTTGAGTTAATTGTTTCGGTTGCAGAAAAAATAGCATGTTTCATTCGGATCAAAAGTGACTTTGTTCGACTCGCAAATGCAAAATTCGCTTGTCAAACAAAGTGTCACTTCTGATCCTAATAAAACAATCTACTATTATTTTTTTGAGTTAACATACAAAGCCTACTATTCAAATGTCAAAACTATCATTTTTTCTATGAATGAAATTCAAAAAAATAATCTGTCAATATAATCTGGGAAGAGGAAATAACACCTCTACCCTCGCCTCTACCCCTTTCCGTAGGACCACCCTTGGTATATTAATGAAGGCGATTTATGATCGAGATATATTAACGTGCGAGCAGAGCGAGCCTAGTAATACTCCTTTACCCATCGCTAACTGTTTTCTAGTTTATATTTTCTTGCGTGCGTAGTTCAAAATACGTAATTTCCCCGCTAGATAAAAAAATTGTGTATAGTATTTTTTTATTGGGATACCCAGTATATCATCGAATATTGAAGTTTTTGAATTCGGTTCAAAATCAACTTTTCGACAATGTATGTTACGCGAAACTTTGTATATTTCATTGTTGATGATAGAAATACAAAATGAGTTTTCAAAAATTTGGAATAAGAATTGCAGTCAGGAGGCTACAAAATTTCAGTCAATCTCGATTTTGATTTCAATCAAGATCGTCCTCCGAAAGTAACTCAAAATGATTATCATATAAGGCAGATTTCGAAAGAATGGAATCAAAAGCAAGGGTACAAAATTTCGTAGAATAGTAGAAGGAAAAAAAAGCTAGATGCACTTCCGGTTCGAAGTAACTACGGATTTTCGAATTATGGAAATTTCAAATTCTTATCTCTTGAAATGATTGACTTTTCAATGAAATAAGTATACTGGAACACCTCAACACCTGGTATTCACACTATACAGGATGTAAAAACCTGTTTGTCACTTTCACTCAACTTACCCCCAAAAACTAGGAACAAAACACATTTCAGTGTTATCAAGTTGCTGTTGACATACTTCATGTTGGTCGCTTGTGTCGAGAATGTCGAATATAAAATCGATCTGATTGTCCTAAATCTAAATTTCAGGTCTTTTCCATCTTCGTTTCATTTGGAGCCTTGGTTATCGATTCATCTGAAACATCTGAAAAGAAAGATAAATAGTGTGAATTAATTAGCAATCATTAGAAGCTACGAAAAATAATTGATGCCATATTTCAAATTTTGGTGCAAGCGCTAGTCACAATTGGAAACTAAATATTTTGAATAATGGATCGAATCATCTCTATAAGTAGAAGTTGAACTAGATTATTATTATTGATTATTATACTGCTATTAGTTATAGGCAAGTAATTTTGCCAAATTGAGATTCAAGCAAGACACGACAAGAACCTAAATATGTTATGTATAGCTGAAAAGTCCAATGCAATAAACAAATAAATAAAGTTTGTTTAGTTGGAAATTCTGATGGAACATTTGATAGCATCATTGAAATTGTGTTTTCCACAAAAGTAACTCATGAAAGTTTCAATACAGTAGTCAACATCAAAATTTATATAGGTCAGCATTTTTAATAATAATATATGCATTAACCAGTCCCTGGGCTCAGAATTATCGAGAATTATCATAGTTATCACTACATGTCACCACACTACCTACTACCTACATCAAGGTGTACAGGGAGGTCCAATGAAAACTTCACACCCCGATTTAAGTGGTTAGTAATGAAAATTTACATACAAGATTTTACTCTTCACGAAATATTTTTCTATTATAATGAAAAATCGATTTCAAAAAGCGGTTCATTGCTCCTAGCATTTTCTTCCCATTTTTCTTCTCGAGGGAGGCATGGTATTTTTTTTATATTTTTGCGTTTGTTGAATATTGCTGTCATCATTTAATTTAGTAAATGTCATTGCTACACGAAAAAAAAGGAATTGTTGAAACAAGCAAAATTTAATTGAATGGAGCGAATAAAAGTGTCATATATGCACGACAAAATATAATCTTGAAATGAGTAGATCTATATCTTGTTTCAGAGCGAATTTGAAGTTTGAATCAAGTAAATATGTCTTGTATGAACTCTGGATCTTCTTCGATCAAGCAGATCCATGAATTGTTTGTGAAGAGATAATGAATTGGCTCAAACAATCATTTTGTTTGATTCAAAATAACAAGATATTGATTCAATCAAATATTTAGTTGCTTCAACGAAATATTTGGTTGATTCAAAGAAATATTTGGTTGATTCAATAAAATATTTGGTTGATTCAATGAAATATTTGGTTAATTCAATGAAATATTTTGTTGATTCAAGAGAAACTATATATCCATTCGACAAATTGTTTTGTTGAACCAAATTTAATATTAAATTTTCTGAAATTTCACATCAATAAAATGAACAAAACTAGGAAACTAGTCGACTCCCAGAATAGATCTCAAGTCTTTACTTCTCCTTAGCTGATGGAAAACTATTTCGGATTGCTAATCACCTAAGTTCGATTTATCCAGCTGATATCTCAAACACGAAGAATCAGGCTTCACATATATAATGAATTCGAGGCAGGCATAGACGAGGCGAAATGATCGCCATCTAGAGGCGAAAATTTAAGTTGCTGTAGAATGAACAAAATATTTCATTGATTTTACATATTTCGTTGCTCTATTCAAGCAAACGATCCGTTCGAAACGAGTTTATTGCTACATCGGAATAAGAAAACTTGTATGTTGTTTCAAAGATATAATTTCATCAAAATGATCATTGTTTGATCGAATCAACGAAATGTTTATAGTTGAATCAACATCGACATTATTTTGGATCGACATAATTTGTTTTTGAAGAAACCATATATTTTGTTGATGGAATTGATATTATACTGTTGATTCAATTAGCCTACATTCTTGATTTGAACAAGCTGCTCCAATGGAATAATCATGTATCTGGTTGATTCAACAAAAAATTGCTCAGTCCAACAAAAATAACTCAAGCATAAATACTTTGTTGATGCAACAAATCTTTTTTTCCGTGTATAGAAATGATGTATAATACGAATCATAGGAATTTACCCAAGAATATTATAAAAGTTTTTAGTGACTCGGTCGGTTACTTGATGGAAATCCATGGCACATATTATAGAATCTTCACAAACGATAAGATTTTCACAAAATTCTCAATCACACGGCATGTTTCGCTAACACGATAGCTTCATCAGGTGATATACTGGTACAATGAACCTTCATTATTATTCCGTTATCGATGACAATTTTGAGACGGAATTGGTGAGTCGAATAGTACTCGATGAAATTTCCCAAATGAGGTATTGCAACACCCTTCAATCTTCATCCCTATTCAAAATCCGGGGTTGTGCTTTCCCCTGGTAGGGGGTTGAAGTTACGAGGATGAAGAAACCAGACAAGACGTTCCGACGACGAGTCCGAGCGTTTTTCTGGATTTTCATTTCAAAGCACTCGAATCGGGGTCTGAAGTTTTCGTTGGAACACCCTATATATTCAATATCTAATATCTAAAAATAGCAGTGCTGTGGAGACCACGTAATTTCATTGTTGTTAACAATCATTTGTATAAATTATGCTGTTAGAGTTACAGAAAACTGTTGTATGATGTAATTATTCACGTGCAATGGCCTTGTTTTCGGCTATTTGGTACCTTCACACTTCGCCCTATTATGGGCATTATGTCATTCAACCGGAATTTGGACATACATTTTCTTCATCATTATATGTTCCCTTGGGAATAATTACACGAATTGATCAGACTATATATATCACCTCGTATATCACCAAATTGATAGAATTAGATGGTTGCTTTCGTATAATAGTTCGTTGTCCTCATTTAATTTTTTTTTGGCTTCCACATGAATCTAATAATAAGTAATACACAATCATCAGAGTGTTTCTCGAAAAACTCGAGAAGATCATTAATTCGACACATTCATTTCAATTTCTCCCACAGTAAATATATATTTTTTTATGTTCTGGTTCCCACGAAAAGGGATATCCTGTAACGTTCAGAGAACCAAGGGAAATAAGGTTGGAATTGGTGTTCTTCTTAAATTTCTGGAGGTTATATGCCTCGAGGAACATCTCCCTTGGCAATGTGTTCCAGAGCCTCGCTGTTCGTTGGATGAACGAGTCTTTGGAAAGAGATGTTCTGCATGACCACGAAGGGGTGCGAAGCCTCAACTCGACTGGTTAATCTCGCGGGGACTACCAAGGGAGTAACAATTGTTGATATTCCAGAAGAGCATCGTCATTGAAAATATCTATAAAATAGAGCCAGATCGTCAACTTTTCAACGGTGTTCCAGAGAAGTGTTTGTTATCGAGGCATCACCCACGAGACGAATTGCCCTTTTTTGGACAGAATCCAACAGTTTGAGGGTATGTTTGGGTGCTGCACTCCAAATATGGGAACAGTATTCCAGGACAGGTCGGATCTGTGCCTTATAGATCATAAACAGTTGACTGGAAGTTGAATAGCTCCTGGCCCGAAACAGAAAAACAAGTTTTTGGGATGCACTTTTAGCAATCGATCTCACGTGATTTTTCCAAGAAAGGTTATTGCTGATAGTAATACCAAGCATTGAAATGGATGTCGTCAAAGGTATGGTTACTCCTGACAAGCTTATGTTGGGCACAGTGAGATCGGCTTTTCCAGAGATGCTTGTGTTTTGTTTGCATTGAAATCTACCAAGAAACTTGACAACGTCTAATTTTAGTATTTCTTTTTCAAATTTTAACCTCGTTTTTAACTATAACAGACTGTGCTATCAACTTTTTATTCAACTTTTAATTTTAAGATATTCCGCCATCGTATTGGTGACAACTTCAGATTTTGATTATACAGTATGTATAATGTTACAAAATATCAAATGATAGGTGTTTTGGTAGAAAAAAAAGTGATTGATTTTTAGTATATAGCCACCTATTTACAAACTGGTGTATACACTCTAGAGTCACTGGATGGTATTAGTGATTAGAGTCACTGGGTGATATTGTTATCTATATAATACCATCTAGTGCGACTCAAAGTTAGATAAGAGAGCGCGTAATTGTCATATACGATTTTAGAGGTTAGATTTGTCATCAATCAATTATGTAAATCAGAGATTGTTCCTGTAAATCAATGAAATAGCAGATTCTCTCAAATTGATCTCATTATCTTCTGTTTTCAAATGGGCATGAATTATAGTTTCATTCTAATATGCTGTTATATATAAGAAGTGAATTTTAATGTATGTATCTCACAAATTTTGCTTTCTTCAAAGAAATTTCCATCCAGGCCGTTCCATACATTCCTTCTATAAGAGAATGGTTGATATTTCTTTGGAAAATTGAAGAAATGATACTCATTCTCTACAGAATTCCCACAATTCATTACACAGCAGGACATTTTCATTTATGCTTTTTTCTAAATAGTTTATGAAATTATATTTCAATTCTGACGTTCATAAAATGTTTGTCGAATTCAAATAATTTTCAATGAAAATGCGCGGAACGACTATGGTTCTCTTGTCACAATGCAAGGTGTGTAACTTAATAAATCTAAACATTCATAAACACTAACAGTTGTCATGTCTATGTCCGAACTCTTATACTCTAATACACTTTATTTCCAATGCCATTATAGAAAAATATGCCACTACTTGTTAACCATGAAGCTATTCTTGTCGCCTGTCGCCTCCATATAATTTCCAATGCAAAATAGATTCGCTGCCGGTGACATCATTTCGATGTTTTGTTTTTCGAAATCTTTGGCAATGATACGGTTTTAATTTTATTCTCATTGTATACATACGAAGATACATACCCATGCCCCAAAAACACACCGAAACTTGATCTGGCATTCGTTTTGTAGGTACCACCATCTGTTCGGTCTTTTCATGAAATCACAGTGCTGTTTTTGAACAGTATATCAAGTGACCAAACATCAAATGAAGATTTTCTTAAATAAAATATTGAGATCTCAAAAAAACTAATCTGAATACTTGTAAAAACTTCACAAACGATAATATTTCCACAAAATTCTTACTGTGTTGGCGAAACATCGTGTCGTGTGATTAAGAATTCTGTATGGAAATGTTATCGTTTGTGAAGTTTTTATATTCGCCATGGATTTCCATCA